TGTACTTGCTATGAGTCGCCATCACGGCCGAGTGATACCACTTTTCCATTGATCCCTTGGCATCCTCTTTTTTGCCCACTGTGATCTTGAGGTCCGCTTCCCGAGATTTGAGATCCAAGGCAGCATCCTTGATCCGTACGACTGTAGCCTTTTGTTTGCGGGAGGCCCATCAGTGTCATTATTGCTATCACTGTCACTCAGATGGAAAGTATCATTGTCACTCATTATTGTACCTGGTAGACGTGTACCCGCTACCTTGTCGGTTAGACTATTCCTTTCGTCTTCAAATAATCATGAAGAATGAGATGCAGCGAAAACAATAGAATTAAGATTTTTCTTTAGAAATGATAAAATTATGCTACCTGGTACTAGCTAGAGTAAAATAAGTCCAGCCCCCGAACTTTTTAGGCTGCTGGTCTGCTGTTACATGTACCACCGTAAGAATAGCAATACTACTAACCGATACCTACTAGCTAGCTAGTGTCTCCTCTCCCTGGATTCTGCTTTACATAAGACCGGTTCTGCTTTCCATAAAGACCAAAACAGCTGTCTGTACTACAACACGTAGAATTGTACAATCGGATAGTAGGTTGGATTCAAATTTCTGTCTTTATGTAAAGCAACGGTTACTCTCAGTACCACAAACATGTAGGATCTACGGCAAATTCTCACTTTTCTGTTCAAAAGAAAAGAACACACAATGAGCAACGGATACCCAAACAAATAGACGATCGGCGACGACTTACCATTGATTATCCTAAACAAGAGGATGGCTTCCTCTTTGTAACAGTCAAACAGTCAACAGGCTTAGAAGTTGAGGCTGCGCCTCACCTTGCTGTTCATCTCAGGATGTTGCTTGAGAATGTGTTGGCCCATGCAAACCTTCGCCTCTTTGTTGCAAATCCAGAACTGCTTCTCCTTTGCCGCTGGATACTTCTCTTGACACTTGCCGCACACCCAAGTTGTGTTCTTCTTGCAGACTAAGCACTTGCCTTGTTCTCTCTGTGTTGGCTTATCTTTCTTCCTTCGCTTGGTTGGTGTGGGAGCACAAAGTTGGTATTTTGATTCAAGGCAGTTGTTGCCACGCTTTCGTGGAGCACCAAGGGTATCCTCAACTCGCTGTGTTCTTCTACGGAGAGCTCTTTCTTCATAGGTGTTGTCAATGAGTTGCTCTGAGAGTATCTCAATGAAGTCTCGAGGAGTCCACCATTGCCCCTGACATCCTTTCGCCAATTCAAAAGAATCAACTACAGCCATTGAGAAAATAGAAAGATTGACACGGACATCCCACTTGAGAGTCCTGACTTTCTTTTCCACCATGACGCTTTGCTGTCTGCTCCTGTTGTGTTGGTCTATCTTTCCACATGCTGAGTAATAGATGTGGCTTGCTTCTGGTTGTGGAATGGTAAGGTGCACTCTTTCAGCTTCAACGCTGAGGTCTGGATTCACTTGTTGCCAACGAAATCGTGTGCATGGAGGACCTGGAGCAACAGAACTGCAAGTAGAGATAAAATAGCGGCGATCTCTATCCACCCACACATATGCAAGTAGATCTGTGTCTTCGTGTTGGCATGTCACAGCATGCTGGTCTCCTCTTCCACCAGGAAGGATGTAGCGAGATAGATATTGCATGGGGTATCCTTTGGTTGCTGTCTTGACTACTCCAATGAACCGGAGGCCAATGGACTTGAGTCTGATGGCTGTTTGCACAGAAGCGAAGTAGCTATCAGCAACAACAACTCTGTTCGAGTTTGCCCACGGCTTGACCAACTCATACAGTACGTTGCATCCATGGGTGTACCTGCAGTTGCGGGATCAACAACGCACAATGTAAGATAAGAAGAACAAACAAAGTCATGAGTAGACAGTAGATGTACATACCCATTATCGGCTTGAACCGATGCCGCTTGCTCATGAGCATCTGGATCTGCGGTGTCCGTTGCTTTGACCAGTTTCAAGCGAAGCATGACTCCAGTTACACCATCGGCAGAGTTTTGGATCTCGCAACCAAATTCAGGCTTTCTATCCAGTGCAATATAGTGAGGCAACCCAATACTAATCCAGCTTCCACCCAATCCATACCAGCGACTCATGGACTCGTCAGTGCAGATCTTGCCGGATGGATCATAATACTCCTGACGGTGATGGTTGAATCGGTCAACCCATCCTTGAACAAGCAACCACCTGTAGGTTTGGACACTCATACCCTCTGGCCTTTCTTCTGGTTGGTCGCTCCACACAATGTGCTGCATCAGCTCAGCATATCTGTTTTTACTCATGCCGGTCTTGCCAAAATTGGGAGCAGGAATGTACTTGCGGTTGGTAGTCTCAGACCAAAGGGAAGCACGATCCCCAAACTCAAATCGAGTGATCAAAAGGGTGACACCCAACCACTTCAAGATTTCTCCGATGGTTGTCAATTTCTTACCGTCACGGCGGAGATTCTTATTGGTGGCTTCCACCATGAACTTCAGCTGCTCGCGAGGGAAGGAAGCCATGAAGAAGTCATACGGGGAATACTGAAACTTGGCACCAGGCGTATCATAATGAAAAACATCTTGATTTCGGTCATCACAGCCAGGAGTATACTCTCTGCCTGTGTATTGACAGGTCATTTTCCACATGCGCTGGCGAACAGGACCATTTGTGGGGACATTAGTTGGTCGATCAGTGTACCAGTCGAAGCCATGTTTGCTTGACACTGGAGTGCGTCCACCCCTTGGAGGGGGCTGTTGTTCCGGATTTTCACGAGAAGAACCCTCCACGCTGGCAGTTTCTGATTCGTTGTTTGCTGTAGCAGTTGTGGTAGCGTCAGCGGTAGCCGTTGGGGTAGCTGTGGATACTTGTTCTTCATTGTTGGTGGTGGTGGTCGTCGTCGTTGTTCCTGTCAGTGGTGGAGGATTGGATGGTTCCACGGTGGAGGAATTTTCATTGTTGTTCCGAATTGGTGAAGGTGGATTTGGATTGGTTGCCTTCGTGCTTTGCATAGACAATATCTTTTCCTTCAGCTCATTGCCAAACTTGTACAATGCCTTGATGTATGTAGTGGATCTCTTGGCTCCCTCTTTGCGTTGCTGCAGAACCTCCAGCACGGTTCCTTCCACCCATGTTGTTGATGCTCCTCCTCCAAAAACACGCTTTGCATCTCGAGAAACGTGCTCCGCCTTGGCCCAAACGAAGCCACCAACTTGCTTGCGACTATCCTGGTTGTTCGACATCTTTGCCAGTCTGATTGTGGCGGAAGCAGCCGTCGGAAGCGACCAAAAAGAGCATCATTGTCATCGGTTTTTCATTGGAAGGTGGAATGAGAAAAAGTGACTCGCGCACGAAACAAGCCAAATTCAAGTAAGCAGAACATGTGCTACCGAGCCGATCAAGCGTCCAATATTGGCTCAACGACTAAATAAAGAGTGCTTTATAAAGCGAGCAAGTTTATATTGTAATACAGAGCTGAAATTATAGAAAGCAAGCAAGCTTTATAGTGCGCTTTAAGTAAAGCGGCGCGCTTTACATAAAGCGCATAGGCGAGGAGACACTAGTACCGTAGATTAGCTAGCTAGCCATTTTAAATATCGCATTCCTTGAATAATGGATCTCTGAAGCTTTTAATTTGTACGGTACGGTACGGTATGGTGCAGTACGGTGCAGTGCGGTGCGCAGGTACAAAAATCGTCAACGAAAATTCTCTGCAAAATACTAAAAGACTGCCCACTGATAATTCTGAAGTAATACTAATACAACACTAAAAGTGTTCGGGGGAAGTGTTCAGGAGAAGTGTTCGGGAGCAGTGTTTGAGAGAAGTGAAACCAAATTTGCAGAGGAATGTGATTCTCAGCTTGCCTTTTGAATTCGTACAGTGCGGTGCGGTACGGTGCGGTGCGGTTCTGTACGGTGAGGTGCAATATGGTACGGTGCGGTGCGCACAAAAATCGTCAACGAAAATTGTCTGCAAAAATCATAAAAGACTGTCCACTGATAATTCAGAAAGTAGTACTCTACAATACCGAGAGTGTTTGGGAGAAGTGTCCGGGAGCAGTGTTCGAGAGAAGCGTTCCCATATTTGCAGAGGAATGCGATTTTCAGCTTGCCACCCTTTTGAATTAAAAGCACCAGTGTACTGATACCGGTACCGTTGGCCTTGAATATGGATTGCATCCTGTCTATAGTTACCGGTAGGATCTGGATTGCATCCTGTCTATAGTTACCGGTAGGATCAGGATTGCAATCTCGACGACCTCAGGAAAATCATCATGAGTTCTCGTGGATTGGAGAGCATTACCGTACCATGAAGTTTCCGAGCAATCGTCACCACCTGACGATGCCCGAAGATCAAGAGCCCTGGAGCCCTGAAGTGGACGAGCCAGACTGCAACCAATACATGTAAGAGTCCACAACCTGGCTTCTGCATGGGTGCGCGAAGCAATGAAAAGGCCAGTGATTCTTCACCTTCCCTCTTCTGTTGATACCGTATGTCGTCTTTCCTGGAAAGCCTGGCTAGCTAGCTCATAGCTAGCTAACATGATAGGTTGGACGGTCAACGTTTGCTGGGCGCCAATAGGGTCCTGCAGGGAGTGGCCAATAGCTACAAGAGCTACCACTAGCCAGCACCGCGATTGGGCGCTCGATTCGCGACTAAAAAGGTTTCGGTGGAACATTTTTGGGGGTGTGGCGAGAGCGCCATTTCCCGGAGATAAGGAAATACCGGTAGTTTGGGAGCGTTTGAAATAATGATGAAATCTCTTCTGGGAGTGCTTATTCTCATTGATCAAATCGAACAAGCTAGCCAGCTAGCTAGCTTTAATTAACTACATGTATTTTAATTAAAAAAGATAATCTAGCTAGCTAGCTACCGGTAGCCACTTGTACACAGTCAGTCTTTGCGCACTCAGCCAAAAACTCAACCTTTTTCAAATAAGACTAATAATTTTTGTCTTTTTGCTATAAAAAGTAGAACACTACCGTAGAACAAGTACATGTACCTCCAATACATTTTCATAACATCGGTAAATCAGTGAAATGCGGGAAAAGCTTTTTCTTTTCTCTTTTCAGAGCCTCTCTTGGTGATGACGAGCGCTGGAGGCTAGCTAGCTGGAGCTTTTTCACTCCTCAAAATTTAATCTGTGCAACAAACACCACCATGAAGTTCTGCAAAAACCTCCAACGGGTGGTTGAAATATCCGACCCGGAGTGGGCTCCTTATTGGATCAACTACAAACAGCTCAAGGTGAGCCTTGACTTCGAGCTGCTTCTGTGCAGCTTCAAAAAGTCCTTATCTGTTCAGTTTTCACTTCCAGAACGTTTGTCCCTGACCTCGCTCACTCCCTCTTTTGCCTTCTCGTTTCTCTTTGGCAGAAACTGATCAAAGGCATTGTCTCCTCATCTTCCACCGCCATAACCGCCGATCCAGCGACGAGCAGCAACACGCAGAGCAACCCTAGCAGCAGCAACAACAACGACGACGCCACCACCGAATCTATTACCCAGAACCAAGATTCGCCAGGCGAATCTTTCCAATCCGCAGTGGTATCCGCAGTAGCAGTAGTGGTCGAAGGACAACAACAACAACAAGCAGCAGCAGATCACCAAAGCAATGGCGATGAAACCTCCGAACGACGACAAGCGGATCCTCCACCACCGTCTCCCGAACCAACCGATAGCCACAACAACAATGACGTCACGGCCGTATTGGGACGAAGTCCAGGAGAGATTGCCTTTTTCAAACTCTTGCATACCGAAGTCAAAAAGGCCAGTCACTTTTTTGAACAAGCCCAAAAGGAATACCAGATTCGAGAAGAGCGAGTGCGAAAGGGGATGGAACTCGTCAAGAATGAACGAGCGGCGGGGGACACCACCGAAGAACAGTGGTCTCGCGTGGCGCAGAGCATTTTTCGATTATATCGCGAACTGCTGTTACTGGAAACATTTGCCATTATGACATACTGTGGATTTTCCAAGATTCTGAAAAAGGTAAGCTGGGTGCAGGCTAGTGTAGAAGAGCTTTTTCGTTTGTGGGCCAGGGTCTCATGATGTATGTATTGTGGATTGATTTCCTTGGATGAAAAACAAACAGCACGACAAAAACACGGGGTTTTCCACCAGAGATGCCTTTATGGCCAAGGTGGTCAATCAAGCAAATTTCACAAACTATCCTCTAGTGCTGCAAATGATCAATCGCTGTGAACAGCTATACGAAGAAGCATCCAACAGACTAGCGCAAGAAGGAAAAGAAAGTCTTCACGAAGACGAGAGACTCTTTATTCACATGATTCACCGATTGAATGCACAAGTAGTGGGCGTCGACGATGCCCGAAAACCCGCTGCGGACGCGAAATTGCCTGCCAAGGATCCAACCGCCAAAGAAGTAACACTGAGCCCCCAAGCGTTTCGTCAGCTATCTTACACACCATTTGTCAAAGCCGCTTGGAAAGCACAGTCGCTGAAAGAACTTGTCGCGGAAAATGACGCTAGTTTGGACCCCAACAATAAACAACGAGAAGACGATTCCGATTCGGATGGAGACGGGAATTCCAAACCCAAAGCAGCAACAACAACAACAACAACAACAACAACAGCAGCAAAAAAGAAAAAAACAGACCAAGATCGCAAGCGAAAGCCGTCGCGCAAGACGGACCCGGACTCGAAACGACGAAAAGACGGCTAGCTAGTTGGGGATGGGTCGTTGGGCATGGACGTGCCGTAGGGAACGCTTTCCGGGTGGGGTGTTGAATGCTCAAAATGGTGAACCATCACTTTTGGTTTTCACAGGGGTTCTTTTGTTGACGATTTACACCCACTCATTCCCGTCGTCCAACTATGCTAGACTATTGTGACAATCTGCTACCAGCCAAGACTTTTCACCGACAACGGGCGAAGCTTGAGCGGCCTGCTTTGCAGCGGGATTTCGTTTGTTTCGTCGGCAGCGTCGAGGAGTCGCTTACCATGTATGCAATATAATTATTCCTGTACAGTAGTATCGATTGGAGGAGATGCGGCCGCGAGCGCAAGGTGCGGGTGGGATCTGGTTTCGTCGATTCCACCTCTTGATATTCATCAACCAGCAATATATCACTATAGATATTAGACCACGTGTATTGAATGAGCTATTGAATGTCGACTGATAAAAAACCTGCGAGTGTCGAGTCAACCAGATTGAAGCATTCTATTCGACATGTCGAGAATGGTTCTGTCGAATGTTCGCCGTCGGTTTTAACTAAGGCTTTAGCTAGGTGCCATCGGTACAACGGTGCCAGATAAGTTCCTTCAAAAGGATTCGGAGCAACAGGAAGCTTTGGGAACTGTGTGGAGTGGAGGATGATACCGCTACTGTAGCGCCAGAAGCAGGTAGAAATATAGGTATGGAAATAAACGTAGTTTCCTTTGGGCACACGAGGGCCGGCAATTGAATGCATGAGCATGCAATAATATCCCAGACGCAAGAAGGAAAGAAGCCCCCAAGCTCACTTTGACGTGGACTGTAGCAGTAGCTGTAGCAATGTAGAGTTCATTTTACAATGTATTAGCCTGGTACGAACGCTACTATAGCTTAGCTGTCACCGTCTCTCGCATCACCGGCACCGTCAGTTCTTCGTTGCTGCAATCGCGCCGCTGGGTCAGTCTGTTGTAACTCCAAGAAAGCCTCTGCGACTCCTTCCTCGGCCTTTGACGGATTGATTACACTCAAAACTTCTCGGTGACGGTATTCCATGTCAGATAGACGCTCTTGGGCAAATCGGACCTTGTCGTTGGCTATTCGTAGGCATCTAGACGCTTCTTCGACATCCATCTCCATGTCACGGATTGTCTCCCTAAGCTTTTCTGATTTTCTTTCGCTTGCTGCTAGCCGTCGTTTCTTCACGCCCATATCACTGTTGTTGTGTGGGGACAGTCATAGGAGGAACGATCAAAACAGCTGAGTCAATTTGAAGCAACCAAAACGAATGCAAGGTGTCACCTGATATGATATCTGTACTTACACCTTCAAAATGATAATGTCGTCCTTTGCTTGTTGCTCTTCTTTCTTTCGCTCCTCCAATCTGTTTCGAGCTTGTGCAATGTCGTCTAGAGCATCTTCGTATGCTTTCATGCGTGCACTGATTCCAAGACTGCCTGAAGGGCCCCATGCAGGCACATTTGGAGGGATTCGTTCCACCGCCAAGGCTCGCTCATCCCTGCTCTTCTGTTTCTGTGCCCTCTGATCTTGCGACTTTCCATTTGCTTTTGGCGTAACGCCTTGAGTTTGTTTGTCCTCGACGACGAAGTCCCCTTCTCTTTCTGCATCTTGGGCGTTCACATCTCTTGGTTTGTCGTCTGCATCAGATTCTGAAATGACATCTGCATCTACAATGGCATTGTAGTCCTCTACACTGACATCGTAGCGGTAAGCATAGCCTCTACCACGTCGTTCCCGCCGAGGTCGACGCTGCCCATTCCTTGCATTCGCCCCATTCTTCTTTATGCCCATTTGTCTGTCGTACTCGGCGGCTTTGTAGTCGTTTTCCTCGTTGTTTCCGCGAAGAAAGTCTCCAACAACATCGAACGGTGATTTCCATGGGGAAGATGATTGCTGGTTGCGGGGCCGTCTTCTGTCTCTGGGACTACGGGACTGCTCAAAGTCGTCTCTCGTATCATCATCACGAAACCAATCGGATACCTTTTCATAAGCCCAATCGTCTCCTCCTCGACGCGACCTTGATCGATAACCATCATCATAGTAGGATTCATCATTGTCGTACTCTGCGTCGTCTTCCCAGGGACTCTTTCGAGGACGCCGTTTTCTCCTTGGTCCGGGGACCTGACTGGGTCTGACGGGTTCTCGGAACTCCTCTTTGAGATTCTGCTCCAGAAAGGGTCTGGGTTGATCATTTGGGGGCGTAACAAAATAATGCTTGTCGTTAGGCATGGATTTGTGTGTTTCTGGAAGAAGAGTATCATCATAATCATCAATATCGTCTTCTAACCTTTCATCGCTGGGAGGCTCCATGCCACCTCCTCCATCGCCATCTCTTGTAGAGACACGGTCATAAATGTCATTGAAACTATCTTCTTTCACACCATCAACAACATCATCATCGTAGTAATAGTCAAAATCGTCGTCGTAATCGTAGCTGTCGTCATCATCATAGTAACGCCGCCGTTTCTTTGGTTTGTCCATTCTTCCAGCGGGATCTAGTGCATCGTCGAACAGGAAGGCCAATCCATTGAACTTTCCTTTGGTGCCCCCAAACATAGTCTTATCCGCTGGCGACGACGCCTCATCCGGGTCAAAGCCATACCAGAATAGTTGTTTGTAAAAGTCACCAACGACAGGGGGAGGAGGGGGTGTTCCGGATCGGAATGTAGCTCTTCTGTGGATACGCGTGAGCAAGTATGTAAGTGTGTTGTTCTCTTGAGGAACAAAAGGATCCATCCAGCAATCACTGATCCAAGCGTCAATAATTCTGCATCAAAACAACCAAGGAAAAACCACCCAACATACCTTCTAGATCTTGAGGATGGTTGTCGAGTATCTCTCCTAGGTCTTGTTCTTGTTCTGGGTGGCTCATTGGCCCCTGGTACTCGTTGTGTGGGACGTGCAGATGATGATGGTCGAATCGGATCATACCGTGCTGGTGGATTGGTCCAATAGTTTCCACCAGATTCTTCCTCATCATCGGCATCATAATATTCTTCATCATCATCATCATAATATTCGAATTCGTCGTCGTCATCCTCATCGTAATAATCTCCTCTTCTTTTATTGACATTGTTGTTGTATCGATCCATCTTGGCTGCCTCTGGTTTTGGTCGAGGCACTCGAGGACTCTGCTGCTGCTGCTGCCCAACTGCTGGTTCTGATGATTCGGAAAACTCCACCGTTTCTCGTCTCTGTTGTTGTGTTGGTGGTTTTCTTCTGGGCGGTCTGTAGAATGCATCATCATCTGATTCTTCTTCTTCTGCTTGCCCTGGCCGGGCAAAGAGACTGCTGGAGGGTCTGGTGTGGAATGGCATCCAATTTGGATCTCTCATTTGCAGTCTTTGCGTATTGACACATAATGGGAAGGAATTTGATCTGAAAGCTCCAAAAGCAAGCAGGAGTAGTAACTTGGAAAAAATGTACAAGGAGTGTGGCTTTGCTGAAGATGTTCTGGAATGTGGTTGATACCCTGGAATATTCATTGCTTTGCTTGGATACCCCATTTTTCTCCCTGCCCTTTTGCTTTTCTTCCTGAAGCCTAGTAAAAAGCAAGCAAGGGACAAGATATTGTCCTCTGTCTGAGTGGTCTGAGGAGCAACTATAGCAGGTTATTGATGGTCTCACAGCATGTTCGATTCTGCTTGTGGGAAGAAGAAATAATGAAGTCGGCATTTTGCGGTTTGTGGAGGGAGTTGATCATCCGTTCCACGTGGAAGAGAGAAAGAGAACAAATCACTTCCCCCAAAACATTCTCCCCCAATTTGTCAAACGTGCCCCCAAACAGGGAGAAAAGATCCAATGGCTCAGCACACACACGCAGACCCTCATCGGCCTCACCGACCTTTCTCGAAAGCTCAAGTAATAATACACCATACCGTAATAGCAAGCCAGCTAGCTAGAGGCAGATAAACAGTTGTAAATCATGGCAGACTGGCAAGAAGAAGAGGAAGGCGAAGGCGTTGCGCAGCAAGTTCAGCAACAGCAGCAAGAAGGAGAAGACGAAGAGGAAGAAGATTCGTTGTTTGGAGAGGAAGACGATGATGCGGGTCAGCAACAGGATGTCCTATTGATGCGGTTCTGTCCACACGATTCATCCATGCTGTATCCACAGGAGAACAAACGAGAACGGCAACTACAATATGCGTGTCGCTTGTGTCGGTACACGGAAGGAGCTCCCGATCAGCCACTCATTTATCGCAATGAAATGAAAAAGGAAGTCGGAAATATCTTGCACACGGTGCCATCGGCCGTCTCGGATGACCCCACATTGGCCCGCAGTCAAAATACCGTTTGTGGAAATTGCCAACACAATGAAGCCGTCTTTTTTCAATCCGAAGTTGCTCAGAGTGATTCCTTGGCGTTGATCTTTGTCTGCTGCAATTGCGATCACAAGTGGGTCAATTAGAAGAAGGAGGAAGTTAGGATTGTTACGGTAGTGGGTCAGTTAGAAGAAGGAGGAAATCGTGATTGTTGGAGTGTATTATCTGTTAAAAAGAAAAACAACAATTAACTACGGAAAAATGGGAGGAAGAGAAAAAATGGTCTTGGTAGGCATGAGTACAGTTCAATTGAATGTGGGGGGATACATCTTTGTGATGGAAGATGCGGTGACAAGGCAAGCAACCATCATCATTATCAGGCAACTTAGCTAGCAAGTAGGTACTTCAATAGGTTATTCAGTTGAGGTATTACTACCTACTATCGTTGTCTGCGTGACTAGTGCTCGACAGCACAGGGCACAAAAAAAAAAGCTCTCTTAACTGCTTAGCCTTCAAATCCTGCGATTGATGAAGAGAGTTTCAAAAGCGTGAAGACCATCCATCCCAATTTCTTTCCAGAGAAACTCAAAATACTGGTGTTTCTCTTTCCCCTGCAGCAGTTCACCCACTCCCAATGGAAGCCTCCCATTGCGACACAAGAATTGGGAGACAAATTGAGCCGAGGCAGCCCCTGTCTCTATTGAAAGCATCCTGGGCATGGTTTCATGCAGCATGGCTTTTCCCCCAAGCCTTGTGATTGTCGTCTCAGGTGTGTCTTGATAGAGTATCGACATACCCGTCACCTTCTCGTCATGCTTTTGATGATGAATGGCGAGGCTGAAATCCACCAAGAGGCAGTTGAAGATTGCAACCCTACAATGCACAAACATGTGGTGAGCTGCCTGTTTGGGGTGCCAAGAAACCAAATGACAATCAGTAGCACTTACCTGTCCAATCCCTCAATAATAGTCCCGTTGCTGTTCGCCTGCTTTGTTTTCAATTCTTTCAAGCTGTTTGCATAGGCTACCATAAGTTCCCAGACCCGATCGATTGGGAACAGAGAAGACGAGAGCAGCAGTCGATGTGCCCACGTTGTGGGAGGCAAAACCACCAGCCGGCAGCTTTGCGTAACCTCGCGGCTGACGACTCGAAAAAATGTAATCGCCGCTTCTGACTCCAGCGAAGACCCCCATGATCCGTGTGAGAGGGAACTCTCCACCAGCAAGTGATTTGTCCAATGAACGAATTCCTTTACCAGTCTTTGGCGAGCTGCGCTGCTGCCATGTTCTTCTCTTCCATGGCGTGCCAAACGGCTCAAGAGTGACGACAGCGTACCTGCAACAATGGCATACCGAACCTTGGCCGTCCCAAACAGAAACAGTCTCTCCAGATAGATTAGTACTTTGCTCCAAAGATCCGAGAAGGTGCTTGGAATGGCAAGGGCAGGCAAAATGTCGTATAAGAGCCACACACCCCATTCTTCCGCGCCATCCCATGATGGAAGTAGTAAGTCAGTGACAAAGGCAGATTCCACTTCAAACGAATGTTCCGCTTTCATTGCAGCTGCTGCCACCCGTTTCAGTATTGCAACCCTCCTTGTTGTTGTTGTTGTGGTTGTTTGCGTCGCCAAAGTCGGTGGATTGTTGCGCTGTCTGACAGTTCGGTCTTCACCCGCCCCATCATCACTCGTGGTGCTATCGTCTGAAGAAGAGTCATCAAGGTCCATCTTTTCACTTATTGTTGATGATCGAGATTCTTTGTCTTTTGTCGCAGACTGCGATGGCAGATTGTCTTTGGGAGCTGACGTCGTTTCCGGATGGTGCCACTCTTGCTGGAGCATGAATGATAAAGATACTCTGAACCGGTCAGAATCTTGAAATGGGGCTAGTCGGCCATGGAATAATCCCGAGTCTGATAATGGATCCCAAGAGAGACCAGGAAGAGAGCAAAGATTGGTGCTTTGAGGAGCTCCTTCTGGAGACTCGTTGTCTTGTTTGTACCAAGTGTGTTCAAAGGCTCTCTTCCAAGCTGTATTTGGGAAGACTAGCCATCGAGCATTCTTCTTGACATCTCGTTCTTTGGGCCGATTGGGTATCGTTGCCAAAATGGGGCCGCACCCAGGAGGGTTCAGCCTGGCAAACAGTTCCAGCAACACCAGTGGGGCAAACTTTGCAGGCGCTGCACCAGTAGCCACATAGAATCTATGTAGGCGTCTGGCTCTAAAAACACGGGCGTGTTTCTTCGTGGTGATGACCAACAGCAATCGAACGGCATCGAAACACAAGGCTGGATCGGTGGACCATTTAAAAATGACACTGTACAATGAATCCAATGCTCGTTCTGCCGGTTCCGAGAGAGCTCCATTTTGGACTGCTAGCCATAAGAATTGCAAGACACTGGCAATTCCCAAAGCATCCGCTTTGGGCGTCTGACATGCGGAAAGGAGCTTGAGTACAGAAAGCTCCGAGATGAAATGGCCTGATTTTGGTAGATTGATCGTTACCAAGTCTCGAAACAACAAGCAAGTGCTTGCCGCGAAATCTTCGGCGGACAAGGACGCCTTGCTGGAAACAGATTGAGGATCCAGAGTTCCACAAGCAATCAAACAAATGGAATTTTGCTGGTCGGTCGTAAAACCAACTTCTTTGGCAACGCTTTGAAGCTTTTGGAGAGACTTTACAGCTTGTGCCTCGGTGATGGTGGCTCGACTCCTCTTCCGAGTAGTAGATCTTTGCCACGCTTTTTCAATAGCGTCTACTTCTTTCGATAATAACTTTGGCATTGCAGGGAATCCATTGGGGAAGATATGCTGAGCAATCCCACTGTAAGCCTCTTCAAATAATTCATCCGTAGGAACATCATGACGAGACCGCTGCGGTGTCATTGTGTCATTGTGTCATGTGCTCTTCTCTGAAGGAAGGTGTGAAGATCCTTGGTGGAGACGAGAGATCAAGCTGTTGTCACCGGATTTGCCTTGTCTTCACATCTCTGCAGGATGAAATCCTAGTAGAGACAATTCCGCCGGCTTCCTTTTACGCACCCGGGGAGAATGCAAGAAGAAGCATCTCGATCCTTGCCATGGCTTTCTGGTACCAGGTACGGTATCGGAACGTGTTTGGTTGTTGCATTGGTACCGATACGCAATCAGCAAAGATGTACAGTACCAGATAGATGAACGATACGATGAAGGCTCACAATACCAGAACGGTGCATCTCACAATCCAATCCAACAATACAATAATAAACTATGGTTTCTCTCTTTCTCCAGCTTTTTGAGGAGCAGGACCTCTTCACGCTGTCCCTCCTGGGGTTTCTTCTCGTCTCCACGACCTTGTTCCTTGTCAAACGAAGTATGGAGCTGAAGAAGCCTGTCCCCAACTTGCCCTCGCCTCCAGATAGTCATTGGTTGTTGGGGCATGCCTTGACTTTGATATCGCCTCCTTTCTTTGACAACATGGCCAAGCTTGCCGTGAACTCCGCCAATGAGCATGGTCAAGTTGGATTCTGGATGGTGAATCGACCTTTTATTGGTATTACTCATTGGGAAGACGCCAGAGAAGTGGAACGCAATGAAGTGGTTCGTGACTTCCCCTTTGTGTTTGAACGATTGCTAAGCCGTTTTGTGGGCAAAAAGAGTTTTGTACTCCTCAATGGACCCGAATGGAAACTCTACCGAGCCGCCGTTTCCAAATCCTTGGGACCTTCGTTTATGTTAAAGACGAGATCGATTGCGGCTCGACTCACACAAGAATGGATCCAACAACAAGCATACGACGAGAACGGCGCCATTGTCTTGGATGTCTTTGCTATGCTCAAGGCACACTTGGTTGATGTATTTGGTCAAGCTGGATTTGACAGGAAGTTTGAAGCACCCGCCAGGATTGCCGAGACTTATGACAATTTGACCGCTGATTTTACTTCGAGGTTGCTAGATCCCTTCAATCCGTGCGCCATGTTTTATCAAATTCCCACGACCCGCAACACAAAGCACCGTCAAGATAAGCAATGGCTCACAAACTTTTTGGACAGTGCAGCCAAGCAACGCCTGCAGGAAATGGCAGCAAACAACGACGAAGGTCAAAAGTTTGACGATCCTTTCTCTCGAGTCCTCAAAGCCTACTTGCAGCACAAAAAGACCAACACGGAAATGACCGAAGCAGAACACGACAAATCCCTCAATGATATCCTCACGAGTTTGTTGCTCGCGGGGCATGATGCTACCAGCATTGTTGTCACCTACTCCTTGTACCTGCTGGCCAAGCATCCTCAGTATCAGCAATTGTGCTTCGAAGAGATTCAGCAGCAGCAGCAGCAAGAAGATAATGACCATTGCTTGGATCCATCTCAATTGCATTACTGCCGCGCTGTGGTGTCAGAGGCCATGCGACTCTACAGTCCTGACCCCGTGGCCACACGACAGTTGCAAAAAGACCACACCCTCAAGGGTGGCATTGTTGCTCCCAAGGGAACCACAGTCATGGTCAATGTCTGCATGATGCATCGCAACCCCGAGTTTTGGCCACAACCCGCCGAGTTTCGTCCTGATCGTTGGGTTTGCCGTTCCAATGACAAGGAAGCCTGGGTGCCTCGGGACGAAAACAACAACAAAGATGACAACAACAGCACGATTGCCAAGGCGAATCGCAACGCCTTTCATCCATTCTCGGTAGGACCTCGCAACTGTCCCGGAGACAAGTTGGGAATGGATCTTACGACCATTGTCTTGGCTACATTGATCAAGGAACTAGAGGTGTCCCTGCTCCCCAATCAACCCGAGGTGGAGCCGGCGTTTTACGGGGTCGTTCAGAAGCCTCGCCGTGGAGTCACTTTGAAGCTGTCCAAACGGGGTTGATCTTGCAAACGCAACGAAACTGAATTGAAGCTGGGTGATGGCCCAGTGGCGGCAAACGAGTGACTCAGTCAAGTTGCTCATCACAAGCGTCAATTCAGAGAGTCAGCTGTTGGCGATGCCTGTTTGTAGGCCAGTCTGCCTGCGTGGCATTCAATAGTTATATGTCTAATCTAATATATTCCAATTGCTTTTCCTCGACGGTCTTACTTAGTTGTTTTCCAGACCAGTCCACCCAAGAGCGTTGCTCGGCTCTTTTCTTGTTGCTTTTACAGTGTAGTTAGTTACACAAAGGAGGCGCACGAAACTGATCGAGGTGCCTGGGTTACTGCTGGAAAACGCCACGCACTTCTTTCCTTGCGAGAGCTCGACTTCTGATCTGTCAACAATCTTTTTCTAATAGATTTATGCTCGGATTCGACCACGGTTGCATTCAACAGATCTATGCTAGCTAGACTAGGGTTGCAGTATTGAGCGCCGTGACGCAGCGAATGCGACACAAGTCCGCTCCTATCATATTGCTCACTCTACTTCAGGTCTGATAATATATAGCAACCTTTTCTACAATTGCTTGAGTTCTCCCGGGTCCGCCGAACAGCCTGGGCTTCTTGAATGACCGCGGACCGTGTGATCGCCTATACCTATCATGGACCTGAAGCACATGGAATTTGAGATGCGTTCAGTTTGACTGTACCGAAGGTAAAGCTAAGCCATGATTGGAGGCTTTTATTATTGAGTGCACGCTTCTTGCGCTATTACCAGTTGGCTCTGCCGAGGCAGCCCGCCAGCCAAGATGTTACACGTATATCGACCTATGGATGGCTCTGGGCTGAGATGGACTATCAAAGGGAAACTTAGAATGCGATCGTAGTATGTATACTCTTTGGTGGAAGAGGACAAGTCGTAAAGAAACCTTCCTGGAATGGATTCGTTGGCTCCCTATGAACGGACAAGCATCACACATCTCGCGGGTTCGAAAGATTTTAATGGAGAGAAACACCACTTTTGTGCAACTTTCGAACGACTTCCGCCGGACAGAGAACTTGGCGAGGTGTTTGCTGCTTGTGCTGTTGCCGCTTGTAGCAGCCATAAGGTAAAACACCACAATCGGAACCAACAGCCTTCCAATAAAGACAACCGGCTATTGGATGGCGACATCCTGGGTTCGGTGCAGTGGTCCCACCAATTAATCTGCAGCACGGATATCCCACGCGCTGGCCGGACACGAAAAGGGTTTCTTTTGTCACACATCCAATAAATCTCGCTTGCCATGTTTGGCACGAAGTTGGCTGAGCGAACACGCCGTTACAAACCAACTCATCTTTTCGCATCCATCAAGCTAGCCAGCCATGTCAATCTTGCTTTGTGAGAACCTGCTTCTTGGTGTGATGACCAGCACGGCTTCGTCATCGCAATCTCGACCTGGATCGATCCAAAGATTTTCTATCGTGCCCTGCAACTTAGTGTTGGAAGAGCTGCTTCTCACTTTTTGATACCTCCATCCACTCGAGTTGACCCCGATCGCACCTCCACTGCAACAGCATCGTACCAGTGGCTTTCGGCGGTTGCTTTACAAAACTCTTGAATTCAATCGACTATCAACTGAGAGTACCCCACACTTTCGATTATCGTGAGGTTATCAAAATGCTATCCACTCCCTCCCGAGAACTCATGTCCACGGACCTGCCTGCCGTTGAACAGTGCTCTACAGGGTCTACCGAAGGTTCTGACCAATCTCCCACCGGCTCCCCCCCAAAGACCGAAGCCTCGGATGACGAAGTACCAACAACACCTACCGAGAAGAACATCAGCAAAGAAAAGACAAGGAGAGGCAGGACCAGCAGTCGCCGAAGCCAAGGTCCACTCTATCGCGATCCCATCTGCCCTCAATGGAGCCGGTGCACTAACGCCATTCACAGCATGATTCGACGTTTTGTCGTGGCCTTGTCCGTTCACGCAGCCAGGCATCCCCTCTCCTACGTCCTTGGCGTTACAACCTTGTCTTTGGCAGTGCTAGCCATTGGTTTCTTTACCAACTTCACAATTGAGGTCGATTACGAAATCATCTATGCACCGCACGGGTCTCGTCCCGTCGAGCACATGGATTGGATTCACCATCCCGACACGGGCTTTCCGCAAGGAAGTCGCCCATTTACATTTGTTCTTCACAACCAAGGACAAAACGTTTTGAGCAATCAAGGAGTACGACAAATGTTTCAAGTCCTTGAAACTATGGAAAACACTCCTGGATACCAGGAGATTTGCGCTCAAAGCTCTTTCACCATGGAATATGCCAATGGGACCAAAATAGAGAATGCCTGCAATGTGATCGGTATTACTCGCTTCTGGTACTATGATTCAGACTTGTTTGAGTCTCAGGAACTGACAGACCGACAGGTCATGCAGGCCATCTCCAATGAAAGCTATCCTGATGGAGTGCCCGTCAATCGTGACTTCATCCTTGGACAGTATGAAATCACCAACGAGACAACAGTATACAACCCTGCTATGGAGAAGGAGGTTGTTTGGGGAACTGATCCCACCGTTACATTTGCCAAGAGCTTTCTAGAGACACTGTTGCTACCGGAAACCGAGACGGCGATCGAGTTTGAAACGGCAGCAATCGAAAACCTACTAGAACTCCAACAACAATGGAGGGAAGCTGCAGAACAAGAAGTTGCCGATGGACTACAGTACACAACATATCAGCTCGAGTTTTTTACCATGATATCCTACAATTCCGAGTTTGAAAAAGCCATATTCAAGGACTTGCCACTCACCTTTATGGTGGGTGCCATCATGGTAGCATTCACTTGCATTGTCTTCTACAGACCCGACCGAGTCAAGTCGCGAAGTCTCCTGGGGGTTTCCTCTGTCTTTACCATTGCCATGTCATTGGCTATGGGACACGGAATCATGTTTGTGGCGGGCATTCCTTTCACGAACATGACCATGATGCTTCCTTTCGTTGTCTTCGGAGTAGGGTGAGTCGTCGTGACATTGTTGATTCCCCTGCCCGCCCTGTCCCCCGATGGTTCAATCCTAACCTTCACGTTTGTGCCTTTAGCTTGGATGATACTTTCATCATTACAGGAGCATACTTCCGGACAGACCCCAACAAGGATACTGTGGAACGGATCCATGAAACCATGCACGAGGTTGGAAGCAGCATTAGCTTGACAACCACAACGACATGCCTGGCTTTTGCCTTGGGTTACATCTCTTCAATCCCCGCCATCCAATGGCTCTGTCTCTACGCCTTCCTTTCTTTGGCCTTGGTTTTCCTCTTCCAAATCACACTCTTTGTAGGATTCATTGTCCTTGATGAAAGAAGAATCAAGGCCAACCGACGAGACCTCTGTGTCTGTATAACTGTGGAGGAGGACGAGTCAGAGCAGGCTGGACAGGATGCCGACTCCAACAAAACCACGGAAGATGCCGCCCTTCGCTTCATGACCTGGTATGCGGACTTCCTCATGCGACCTGCAGCCAAGGCTGTTGTCATCGCGGGGTTCCTTTACTACTTCGGAGTCTGCATTTGGAGCACCACCCTTCTCACGCAAGAGTTCATCGTCTCTGACTTTCTGCCCGAAGGATCTTATGTTGCAGACTATCTTGATGCTGTGGATGCCTACGCAGCAGAAATGGTTCCGCTTGGAATCTACTTCCGCGGCATTGATCAATCTAACGAGACGGTTCAGCAGCAGATGAGAGACTACATTGACGAACTGATGCAACTGGAGCAGCTAGACAAGCAACCTCCGTTCTGTTGGGTCCGCGACCTTGCCAATGATGAAGTGTACGAAGAGGCCCTTGGAGTTGACCTGAGCTCCTTCACTTTCAACGAGAAGCTAAACTTGGCCTTGAGTGACCCTCGAGTCAGGCAGGTATACGGCGAAGACATTGTACGAGATGAGCAAGGCAACATTACAGCAAGCCGTTGCATCGTCTTTCTCTCGAAGATCGACTTCGACCACGTACAGTCGCAGATCAAGATGCTCGACGACCAGCGTGCTGTCGCAGTTGTTCAGCCTTTGAACGAGGGCCAGGAGAACTTCAGAATGTTTACCTTTGCGGATCTGTACTTCCTATGGGAGTTCTATAGTGTGGCAGTGGATGAACTGATCGCAACGACGATTGCTGGAGTGGTCTCCGTGACGGTGGTGGCATTCCTCCTGATGCCTCATTGGTAAGTACAGTGCTGGCATGAAAGGTGGATGTTCTCACGTTTTCTCCGTCGGCTTACCTTCTCCCTTCTGCTCCTCTCTATAGGACTGCTGTGTTCTACGTTGGACCAATCATCGTCATGCTTTACATTGACTTGTTGGGCACTCTCCAATTTGCTGGTCTCCATATCAATGCAGTAACCTATGTTTGCCTGACCATCTCCATTGGGTTATTGGTGGACTTCTTGGTAAGTCTCTTATGTCTTCCATCCCTCTTTCATTGACGTGGTGTAGCTCACAGCACCTCTTCATCGTGCACTACTCTCTTGGTAGATGCATATCATGCTTCGCTACTACGAGTCCACAGAATCAACTCGAGAGAAGAAGGTTAAGGACACTCTAAAGACTATGGGTGTCAGCATCATGGTGGGGGGCATGTCTACCTTCCTCGCAGTCATTCCGCTAGCCTTCAGCACCAGTGCGATCATTAAGACTGTTTTCACGGCTTTCTTTGCGATGGTTACGCTTGGAGTCTCCCACGGACTCATTTTCCTTCCTGTGGTCCTCTCATTCATTGGGCCCAAGTACACTCCCAGGGTGCACCCAGCACGAATCGATGTTGCCAACAGCACCGACGCTGACGCTGATACCGTGCTTGATACTAAATTCTTCTCAGGGCCAGGGAATGCTTCCACCTCCGCCTCCCAACCTTCCACCTCATCATCCGATGACTGTGACAGTCCAGGCTATGGCATCCCTTTCGGGGAAGCTCCATGCAGAACAATCATTGAAGTATGAGCAACGGAACTGGGCTGGCCGTATAATAGAAGTCCAGGTGTGCCCCCTTGGTTGACCTTTTCCACTACCGTATTGTACGTACAGTAGTACCGGTAGCTGGTTCAGCACTTCCGCTGAACTATTGTCATAATTTAAACCAGAAACATAAGAGCTGTATGCCATCTAGGGAAGCCCCTTCTTCTACATCTACTCTCGCTAGCTGGCGTGTGAACTAGACAAGCCTGCACCGCTCATTCAAAACCTCTTTGACTTCAGAACTCTAGACTAAAAGTACATAACACCAAGGCATCGTTTGCCACAGCTAACAATTGAACACCACACCAATAGCAAAAGCCCTTCTTCGTTGGCGGGAAAGGAAGACGACGATGCATTCTCATCTCACAGCAGATTGGGCATGAGTAAGCTGTGCTCGTCTCGCCCGAGGTCCTGTTCCGGAGCCATTCAATAGCTTTCGGAAACTTCCCTGCTTACCCTTGGGTTCATCGCCATCAGACCGTGATGTGAGGTCTCGCAGAGAACCGGCTCGGTTCACGAGCTTGTCGGCTACGTAGGTACCACGGCGAACAACGCGAGGATTGGTGTGATCACCGCCATTCTTACTAGATCTTCGTTTGGTTCCACCGGCGGCGTCTGCGCTGACAAACTCCTTCAACAGAGGCGTATGGTAGGCAAACGTGTTGTAGTCGTTGGCGTTTGGTAGTTTCGAGATCATATCCAATCTGACGAAGGAAAACAAGGTCAGCTCATATACGCACACGATGCAAGCGAAAAAGGCGCCAACAAACACACAGTCGAACTTACACATCATCCTTGCCATAGTCCTCCTTGACAATCTTTTTCAAAGTGTGCATTGGAATGATATCAAGACGTTCCCGATTCACGGTCTCGTTGCTTTCGTCCGTGGGACCAGTGCCATTTGTTGTTGCACCTTCGGGTTCATTGTTGTTTGCTGGAGCTGAAGGTTCAGAGGCATTGGTCTCTGCAGGTTTTTTGCGGTCGTCCAGTTGCTTTATTAGACGATCGAATTCATTCCCGTCCAACATTGTTGCCAGCAGTGTGGTGACACTGCGTTCGAATTTCTGATAACCAAGCATGAGCGTATGCCTTTGCACACTTCCGCTGAGTTTGATCGATTGGGATCTACCCATTTTCTTGGACGCTGACGATTTCTCTGGATCTATTCCTCCTGCAGCTGCTGCCGCGGCAGCAATCGCTTCAATAGAGATTCCGTCTTCCTCCTCCTCCAAGTCTTTGTGGAATGTCACAAACTCATGGGTCAGCATTTCGGCCGCGGTCTTTCGTCGTTTGTGTCGGTATACTAGCAATCCTTCCAGCATCTCGTAGTAGGAAGCCGGCATGTCCTCGGGTAGATTGGGCAGTTTCTTAAGGTCTCTATTTTTGGATGTTTGTAGAATGTTGAATGCTTTTTGGAGCTGATCCGCGGGATAACCGGCCACAAGGACGTACAGAGTCACACCGACGGACCAGATATCCGTGGCTTTTGTATAGGTTCGTTGAAACATTTCGGGGGAGATGTAAAACGCTATTCGACGTGGTTGCCAAGCAAGCCCAAAGAGTTAGGAACGGCTGACACTACATTATGGAAGAGCGAGACGACGGCCCGAACGTACCAGAACCAGCAAAGGTTGTGTGCCTTCCAAATTCGGCTCCTTCCTCCAACTCGGCATTTGGATCGTCCATGACTCCTGATCCAAAGTCAATCACACGTAGCTCTGACTTGGGTGTCGGTTGAAGAAACATGATCTTCGTTCCGTGGATAGATAGATAGACAGCAACAAAACCAAAAAAGGTGAGCATCTGGTCACATTTCCTGTTTGGGGGCAAGCTGCGTATTGGACGTACATTTTCTGGCTTGACCTTCAGTCCGTGGATAGATAGATAGCAACGTTAACAACCAACAAGAGGTGAGCACTGGTTACATTTCCTGTGTCTTTACGGCAAGCTGGTGAACGTACATCTCGATGTATGATATGATGTTTGGCACAACACTCAAATGCCGTCAAGAGTTGAAAGGCGATCCGTGACACATCTTCCGTTCTCAAATCATCTTCCTGTTTGGCGACATATTCCATCATTTCTCCTCCAGCACATAGCTCTGTCACCATGAGAATTAATCGTGGCGTTTCGTAAATGGAATGCAGTTTGAGGCAAAAGTTGCTCTTGTCCGCTGCTAGTGCCCTCAGCATGTTGATTTCTCCCTTGAGAATTTCTGGTTTCAGGGCTGTTACAAGTAGTATTAGTTGTTGTTGTTGATGTTGATCAATCGCAAAGAAGTAGATTGTTGTCACATTGTGATTAATTTTTTGACGATCGAGTCGCAGAGGCGTGAGTAGGAAGCAACCAAAAAAAGACAGAAGCAGAAGCAAACAGGGTTAGCAGCAGCAAAAGATCTCCTTTCTTTCTCGCATTCGTTTTTCTTTTTCTCTAACGTACGTGCATACAAGACATTGTCTTTAAAGACAACACCTTTTCGTAGAGTCTTGCATGCCAGTGGTTCATTTTCTTGTGATCTCATGTCATGCACCATTTTGACAACCCCGAATTCACCTTCTCCCAGAACATGATCCTCCAGAAATCGTTTGTGGAAGCCTTCTTCGTCACCATCCGGATTCTCAATGAGCATCCCTCCCCCACCAGCGGCACTCAAACAGGCACCCATTACGGCGTCAATGACTCGTTCCAGAAAGGATAAAAAAGGTCGATTGCCTCGGCTGTGGATGAATATCTTTTTGTTGCGGATGCTTTCGTGAAAACTGCGACGAGTTTCTTCGGGAATGAGGTGGGATTGTTCCGATGCTGACAAGGAGGAATAATCGTCGTCGTCGTCCGAAGCAGTACCCGAGGGTAGGCAGCAATCGGAAATGGAACAAGGCCAGCAGAATATTGTTGCAGTGGTGACAGTGCCTCTGGTCCTCTGGTATTAGCACGAAGCAGAAAAGGTCTCCCTTTATCTTCTGATCTTGTGACAAGACGAGAGACGAAAGATTGATCCCAGGAAAGCGACTCGACTCTTTATCCTCTATTGTACCAGGGAATCTTTTTAACTTCCTCTCTTGCTGTATCCAGGGAATCTTTTCAGCTTCCTCTCTTGCTGTATCGCCGTCACTGCGATCCTTTCTTTCAGCACAACCAAACAACAGTTCGAGCAATTGCCTCTCTCTCTTGCTTCCCGCTTTCGTGATTTTTCTGTCCAGAAGCTCGAGGTGTGTTATTCGAAGCTTTAACAAAAGGTTTTTGCTTAAGCCTTTGCACCCTGCAGAGCTGTGAAGCCACTCTAGATAAATCCACAGCAAGAACATGCAGCCCGAGGCTTATGCCCTCAACTGTCAAAAAGAGATTTGATTCGATTGAATCATTCCCTTATCCTTATTAGTCTAATTAGACTCTAACATCTTTTGGCCAAACCAACACTGTGTTCAACTGGACACACTAGCGAGTCTGTCGATCCGTCGAGTAGTGGATAAAAACTACTGTGTCCAACAGAACACACAATATCAGTCCCTATGTCCCTATCCTTAACAAGGAAAGTGTCCTTTATGTCTTTGGACATACCTACACCGTGTTAAACTGGACACACTATCGAGTCTACATAGCCAGCCAGTACCGGTACTCTTGTGACAAACTACTGTGTCCAACAGAACACACAATATCAATCTCTATCCTTAACGTGGAAAGTGTCCCTTATGTGACGAAAACAGCTGCAACAAACACACATACACACACACACACACACACATACAGTGATAAAAGTGTGAAAGACCCTCAGTCCGTTGAGGGCAATGAAGCCTAGCTAGCAGGGGTTGTTGTGGAGCCATACTAGTACTGGTACTCTCAGGAGGAGCTATGAAAGGCAGGGTGCAACTTGGAATGTGCATGTGCCCAACATACTCTAATGTAGCACTATCCGAAGAGCAGAAGAAATATGATTCCACGGGAACAACAGTTACTAGTGGCAACTATTGTCAAGAAAGCCATGAAAATGGTCTTCATGAATGGTACTCGTTTTGAATGTTAATGAACCAGGAAGGTGTACAAGCCTCCCACCGTACCGTGATACTGATGAATACTACTGGTAGCCTCATAACAACATTTTGCTATTGATCGCAACTTTCTAATCCGAAAGCCAGACCCACCGGTCATCAGGCGAGGTCCTATCCATTCTCCATGTGTGTCCTCCGTGCATTCACGAAACACATTTATTTTCGTCGATTTATTTAGTTGTACGAATCAAGATTTCATTCCTATCCACATACAGTGGTTCGCACGTTCGCACCAGATTCTGCCAAAACGCAATCACCGTACGTCAGGAAAACTCGTGAAAATCGCATATGATTGTTCTTTGATAGAATCTCGTGGGTTATCCTCGTGCATGTGGATCAACCAGGATTCGTTGGGTGACTGACGACTGACGTTTTCGGAAGCTCGGCTGGCTCTAAGCGAAATCCATTTCCACGAAAGCTGCGGTACGGCGAATTGAGAATGGGAAATCAATGGTTCGCCGTACCGCAGCTTTCGTGGAAATGGAGTGAAAGCAGGCCGATTTTAACAGTTAAATTGATTTCACGAACGAAGGGAGGAATAAAGAGGTCACAATCGATGGTTAGGACCCCGCCTCAGCGTGATGAAAGTCCTTTCTGTGCTTGGCAAATTGACTTTCCACGCTCCACGTTCAAAAGATTCTCAGTTACGGTATAGGGTTGGGGACAATGCAGCAACCTGCCACCAACCCCATGGTGGACAGAGCATCGAACAGATCATTGATCGAAGAGAGACCACCATGAGCGGCATTACCAATCCCATGCGAGGTCATTCGAGCCGCCCTCAGGCTCAAAGCATTGTATTAAAATACAAAGCCTTTGCTACCCATTTGTTAGTGGGAGCAGTGTGCTTTTATGCTGGAATTGGAGTTGGTGTGAGAGTTGGGTTTGTGGACTGCAAAAAAGAATGCTTGAAACAAGAGAGCAATATCCTGCTGAAAAGTCAGCTCATGGCGGGACAAAGATCAATGGAAGAGAAGAATCCAGTTGCTTGTGACCAGAAGAGCGATGGAGGAGGAGGGGGTGGCAGCAGTGGCAAAAGATTTCCAGACAATATGTCTCATTTCTTGACGGGGGTAGGTAATATCGTGTCTGTGACTGGCGCCCCTTGTTGATGACAAAGGATATATGATGCGAACATTTCTCACAATTAATTGCTCTCGTTATTCCCACAATAGATGGCCCAATTTGATCGCGACAAGTTTAACACTCGCTTTGATGTTGGAGTTCCATTGGATCCATCCTCCAGAAACAACGACAAAGTAGTGCTCCTATACAATGATCCACAGTCTCTGCCTGATGACCCGTCTTTGGTGGATAGGATTATTGGCGGTGGAGATCCACCCGAAATAGCCGATATTGAACAAGCAACCAAAAACTGTGATGTACTGGATCTCATTTTGGTCCAACCTAAAACGAAGAGGCAATGTAAGATTACAGATCTCAGGTAATGATGTTTGACATCCATGCACCCTCACACTTGCTTCGTATCCATTGTTAGGTATGGCAATGGTGGGACAGTACCAGTCATTTCACATTCAAAAGTGAGTTGGAATGTTGTAGCTTGAGAGAGGGGAAGGAATTTGTAACTGATAATGCTGACAACAACGTTCGCTTACCATTCAGGTTTATGAGGCTGCCCCCGACGGAGGGCGAAAAGCTAGACTCCTCCGCCCCACTTCGACTTCTAAATAGAGGAGCACAAGCCTCGGGGAGATTATCCGCAAAACCGCCAACAAAAGTCCAAACGTTACAATACTGGAACACTTTGAAAGTGTATCTAGACACGCTAGAGTCTGTATTGAATGAACTCAAGCCAATAGCCGAAAGGGTGGCGAAACAAAACACCATCATTGTCATGGTAAGTGCCCGGGCTGGTAGTCGCTGTCTCGCTGCTTTGCACTTGCAATTTCCTTGCCTCGCGCTTATTGCTGTATTGCTACCGGTATATCATACATAGGTTTGTAACCATGGACAGAGCGAACTATTGATGAATTTCGTATGTGCTGCCAAGTCTCGCAACCTGGACATTTCGACGGTTCTGGTGTTTGCAACTGATATGGAGACACAGGAATTAGCAGAAGGACTCGGCTTGGCCGTATTTTATGACAAGACGGTAGGTTCAAGTGCTGGCAAGCTGCTTTTCGGCGTCTGTCCCGCTTTCTAACCGTGGCATTGCTTCCAGAACTATGCTTCTGCTCCGAAGAACGCAGCCAGATCCTACGGTGACAGGGCATTCACTGCAATGATGATGGCCAAGGTATACTGCGTCCAAATGGTGAGTGCTGCGTTAGCAGGTTTTGTATGGTTACGACTACATCCGACTAACGAGTTCTTTGCATGGATTAGGTTGCCTTCCTTGGTTACGATGTATTGTTTCAAGATGTCGACATGGTGTGGTTTAAAGACCCTCTGAAATACTTCCATGATGAGAACTCACCTAGCCATGGATTTGATATCTACTTCCAAGATGACGGCTCTAGAGGTATATTCTGGGCACCGTTTTCTGCCAACACTGGATTTTACTATGTGAGAGCAAACGATAGGACCCGGAACTTTTTCAATGCTCTTCTGATGGCAGGTGACCTGATTGTTTCGACAAAGAGCCACCAAATTGCACTTGTGGCACTTCTTAGTGAGCACACTTCCTTGCATGGAATGAAAGCAAAGGTCTTGTCTCGTGATGCAGATGAATTCCCTTGTGGCCATGCCTTCCACTATCGAAAGGATTTCATGAGGGACATATTTGCTGGCAAGGTAGAGCCATATATCTTTCATATGAGTGAGTTTCGGAACTATGAGAAATTGCTGTGTGGAAGTGTGTTCGCCCTCTGTTGAATGTTGACTGACAACTTGCTTTGAAATTCCGGATCAGGTTGGACTCTGAACAAAGACAACAAACAAAAGTTCTTCCGTCAGATTGGGGAATGGTATTTGAAAGATCAATGTGTTGCTAGTACCGTCGACAAAATTCTTGACAAGGGTACCCGATTTACCCAAGGAAGTCTACTGGAGCCATGCTGTTCAGCCGAAGCTTTGTTTTCGTGCTTCTACAGCGACAAGCCGAGCAAATATCCATGCAAAGACAGCCCAACAATTGACAAGGGAGGCAGGCCATTTTGGAAGTAGCTTCAACCAACGACTCGGGACGTGATGGGACGACGCAGCAATTTTCATCTTGGCGTATGCGACGGCTGCCAGCGGCCACAACAACCTTCCTTGGTACTCGATCCAACTTTGATCGCACATTCGACAACATGATGTGGTGCGAAACAAAAGGGTTGGTCTGCTTTGCACTATGAAATCACAACTACGGAAGTACAGTACGTCGCCTCCCTCTTCGTCGAAGTGGGTTGTACAAACTATAGCTAAACAGCTGAACAACTGGAAGGCGCCATTTTTATAGTCCGTACTTGAGCGTTGCTTCACAGCAACAGTTTGACAAGCTACAAAAATTCCATCCCTTAAAAAGCTGTATAAAGGGGAGAATTCTAAGTTAGGCTTGAGGGGTTCGCACTTCCCACAAGAACCTTTCAGGATCATTGAAAGTACTTCCTCCTGGGACCAGCGACGGGAGAAAGTCCCTCATGATTGTTGCATTCTGTTTTTGGTAATGAATGAGACCCAGTATTGCATTGGCTGCAGTTGCAACGTTTTCTCCACATTTGTCGTCCTTTCCCAGAAAGAGTTGCCACCAGGGAGCTGGTTTCATTGGTAGTTCGATCTTCATGTCTCTACATGCCAAGTAGATTGCTGCACACGTCTTTGGAAAAGCAACACAGAAGAAGTGGAGTAAGAAGTTTTGGACACGGATTGAGTGGCAAAAATGGCACTAGATCTATGCACGCCAAACAAAACATCAAGCAAGCCATCTGCACTTACAATGACTTCTGAATCAAATCTAACACAAAGGTCCAGCCGACAGGAATCATTGCAGTAGCTCCATGCCCTCTGAGCCAGAGCAAAATGCCTGATCTCTCTCTTGTTGCCGTTGGTTTCTTCGCCCTTCTCATCTTTCCCCGATTTATTGTTGTCATTGTTCTTTTCGTCGGCTGTTTCATTGACAGTTTCACCATCCTTGTTCGCATCTGCTTGATTGTCATCTCCAGAGCTCGTCGAATTGTCCGCAATGGGCACAGGCTCCAAACCCAACAGTATCCTCACGAACTCCCACAAGAATTTGTGTGGATGAGCGTCTGGAATCCAATAGAGTGTAAAACCCAACTCTCTTAGAACTTGATTTTCCATTTCCACCACATTCTCGTAGTACTCCTTCCAGACAGGTCCTAGCTTGGACATGGACGGAACCGAGGAACTGTCCTTGGTGCTAATGATAAGGTGTCTTCGTTTTCGATACAAATGATCGAAAAAGAGGACAATGCTGCGAATGGTCCGTTGTTGGGGTCCATCTTGAACCTTTGTGGCGAGCAGCAGACTGGCCATGGCTACACTCCAAACGTTGTATTTCGTCAAGGATACGCGATGATAGAACCGATGAAAAATGGTACAGGCCGTGGCGTACGTCGAAGCATTCAGTTTTTGCAGCTTGGTGGCGGCATAGAGCAGAGACGTCCCATAGAGACGATGCGTTCGTTCTACCTCGGCTGAAATGCCATGGCGTCGAGATGGAGTTTCGTGTGCTGTGGACAGGATAGGAACAATGGAGCGATCGACAACCGACATCACAACGGGATCATCGGAAGTGGATGTCATGGTGCCGATTTCTTGCTTGATCGAGTTGTCAGTTGTGTGTTGTGTGGTGATGCTGAGGACCTGGCTTCGAGATCCACCAGAAGCTTCATTACAGCAGCTTGAGCCGGCTTGTGTAGCTTGAAAGATCCATCCACACGCTCCACGGCGAAATCCACGGTCATCACACTCAACAACACATCCTTCTTTGGACAAGTCCAGTAGAGATCAACAACTGTGGCAGAAGATAGCCTGAAATACAGCATCTATTGATTGGATCTGAATGCCAGTGAAGAATAATCCATGCTTTCCTTCGTCTTTCCTCCTGGCTTTGTCGAGGAGCCGTTTGCGGCAGACTCGACTCGACTCTGTCGCGTTGACGGCATGTGAACTTCCTGTTTCAGCCAATGAAATATGACCCCCAAAATTCAGGAAGTAGGCAAACCGGACTTTGTTTGACAAGCTTCGGAGTGGAGGAGACTGTGAGTTTATGTTTTTAAGTCCACGATGGGATTGACTTCCTCATGAGGACAATACCGTACAATACATTGTCTAACCGAAAAATATATGGCTCTCCTCGCATTTCAACCAATATTTCTTGCTATTTGATGGGTGAACAGAACTTCTCTTAATGTTACGAGCTTGTGAATGCAGCTGTTCCAGCACTATTCTCTGCCACTTGAGAATCATACAAGAGGCCAGCAATGCAAGCGGTCATGAAGCAAGCAGTGTTTCCAGCAATCATGGCAGAAAGGACTAGCTTGGTCAAGGATTTGGCTTTGGATGGTGCTAGAGGAGTCAAGCCACCTAGCTGGATCCCAATGCTTCCAAAGTTGGAGAATCCACAAAGTGCATATGTCGCAATCACAATGGACTTTTGATCAAGTTCTCCATTCTGAATGAGCGTAGCAAGCTCCGTGTAGGCCACAAACTCGTTCAAGAAAACCTTGGTACCAAGCAGTGATGCCACTGCCAGGCAATCATGAGCCTCGACACCCATGAGCCAGGCAAAAGGATAGAAGAGGTAACCACAAATGGAGGAGAAGGAAAGGTGTACATCAACGAGACTTCCGATGCCTCCGAGGAAGCCATCCAGCATGGCAACCAATGCCAAGAATGCAATCAGCTGAGCTCCAATGCTGAGAACTAGATGGATGGCCAGAGAGGCTCCGCTGGCTGCTGCTTCAATAATGTTCGAGTCTGTGGACTTGGTTACATCAAACATGGTGCCAGCTGCAGTCTTGGACTTGTTGGTTTCCGGGTAGATCACTTTGGAAATGGCCAAAGCTGCAGGAGCACTCAGGACGCTGGCTGAGAGGAGATGAGTCGCTGAGATGCCCAGGCTAGCGTACGCTGCCAATGCAGAGCCAGCAACACTGGCGAAACCTCCCGTCATCACAGCATGAAGCTCGCTCTCAGTCATGTCATCCATGAAGTGTTTGATCACCAGTGGAGCATCCGTTTGACCCAGGAACACGTTTGCAGCAGTGCTAAGTGTTTCTGCAGAGGACGTGCCCATGATCAAGGCCAGAACGTATCCAATCTTTTTCATGATCCACTCAATAATGCCCAGGTAGTAGCAAATGGATACCAGTGACGCCACAAAGAAGATGGAACTGAATGCATTGAAGTAGAGAGGTGGCGCTAAGTAGTATTCGCCGCCATCGGCCAGCTGGAATGCTGTCCCAAACAGGCTCGGATCAGCCAGGTAACCATAGACAAGTGAAGAACCTGCGTAGGTATAGTTCAGAAGAGTTGTCACCTGGTTTCCCAAGAACTCAAAGACTGCAAAGCCGGCTGGGGATTTCAAAATGAGCAAGCCCAAGATGTATTGGAGGACCACGCCGCCAAGGACTGGTCTCCAATTGATACTGCCTGGTTTCCAGCTTGTCACATATGACACGAGGACAAACACAACCAGCCCCAAGGCACTCACAAGGTTACGAGCCTCTTCGACGAGCAGCGCTGAGGTCACTACCATGATGACAATGAGAAGGATTGCCGGTGCACGTCGGCTCTCGAGACTCTTCAAGCTTTCACGAAAGGTGGAATCGAACAAGGACAGTTGCTCGCTCCAGTACTTGGTCGCGAGGTATGAAATGACGAAATAAGTTGCAACGGTAACTTCGATGATCAAAAGAGGGAGGGCACGGTCAAAGTCAACAATGTATGCCCAGAGCGAATAAGCTGCAAGTGAACCCCAGCATAACACAAGCAACAGCACGGAAAGCTTTTCCCTTGCAAATTTGAGGTACGGAGGTGCATCCACATCGTCGTCGTCGACTTCGGTTTGCTCCCGAATTTCTGCTTGTTCCCCGCTTTCCAAATCAACGACGGCACAGTTCTCATTAGATTGTGATGTGCTGTCTGTCTCGGAGGGCTCTTCAATGGCACCGTCTGTCCCGATCTTTGTGGGCGATGGCCGTGCTGCACTCTTGTTTACTTCGATGCACTCTTCCTTTCTTGTCATTGTGGGAGGCTGAGAATAGCTTGCAGTGGACTTTTTGTTTCTTTTGCAAAGAATGTGAGTGCGGTATGCAGCAAGCTATATCGCCTATTGGTTATGTGTGCTCTGGTTTGTGTGGAACATTCTTCTGATTACTGTACGGCCCGTGCCGTCCAAGCTGCCTTCATTCCCCCATCTTTGTCCAGTGTGCAGTCCAGGTTGTTTTGTTTCGGAGGCTGAGAAGAAGGTTCGATGTACAGCTCGCTGGCTTCAACAATCAGCTCGCTGGCTTAAAAATCTTTCCACTTTCTCATTCTCACAACTTTGCTCTTCACTCTCAACTCTCAACTGCCGCCAACTGGTACCAACCAACCACCAACCTCTTCTCCGTTGTACTTTTACGGTAGTGTGTCCCGAGCTTCACATCAAGCAACCATGCCTTCGCCACTGCGACCACCAGCAACTCCACCAAGATCTCAAGGCTTACCGTCAACATCATGGAGCAGCTGCACTCCCAAGTTCCTGGTTCTTCAGGCCATGCTATGTGGTACCTGTCTTTCTCTCGGATTCCGGCTGGGCGTCAACTTCCAATTGCATGGTTGCTCACCGTCTCATAAGGAAGATGCCATGAATTCCCCGCCAATACTTTCGGAGAGAATATCCAATGAAGAATGCAATGCCAAATTTCAACCCATTGTGGCACATCGGGAACAATCGTTGCAACGCTTTCAAGCAGAGTACCGCAAACTACAAAGACTTCACAATGAAACCGTTGCTGCTACCCCTGGCAGCAATACCAATACCAATACAGCAAACTCAAAATACAGATTTGAGAAAGAAGTCGATGATTTTGCCGAAGGAATGACCTACATTCCAAGAGACGAATTCAATAGCCGATTTGACGTTGGGGTACCCCTGGATCCCTCCACCAAATTTAATGACAAGGTGCTCCTGTTGTACTCGGATTCCAAATCACTGCCCTCGGACCCACAAGCCAAAGAAGCCGCTCGTCGATCGGGGGATATTCCCACACTCGGAGTTTTCCGAGCTGTTCACAATTGCGATTTTTTGAATGTGGTGTTTCTCCAACCTGCACGACAAAAACAATGCACCGCCATTGTCGGACAATACGCATCCTACCATATCAGCAAGTACATGCGATTACCGGATAATGACAAGGGTGGATACGGACCATTGGATTCTTCCGTTCCGTTGCAATTGGTCAATCGAGGAGCCCAGCTTTCAGGGCGCAAGTCCACGCGTGTTCCTGCTCCCAAAGACACCCAAAAATATTGGAAGACGCTCAAAACATACCTGGATACACTGCCATCTGTCTTGGAGGAACTCAAACCAATTGCTGCAAAGGTGGCCAAAGAAAACACTGTCGTGGTCATGCTGGCAAATCATGGTCAATCAGGTATCCATCTGGTAGTAGCGATGAACGACGCCTGATTTGATCTCATTCCATTTTTTGACCTCACATCCCTTCCTGCTGTGCAAACTCTCAGAACTGCTAATGAACTTTGTCTGCAATGCAAGATCCCGAAATTTGGATATTTCCTCGGTCCTTGTCTTTGCCACGGACCAGGAAACCAAAGACCTGGCCGAGGGTATGGGACTGACAGTCTTTTACGATGTGACGGTGCGTGTTGTGCGACTGTGGGAAGTGAGGATTGCCTTATTTAAAAATTGCATCAAAGTTTCTGACATGCCATCGTTTCACTCAGAACTACGGAAAGTCACCCAAGGGAGCTGCTCGGACATACGGCGATGGCGCTTTCACCGCAATGATGTTTGCAAAGGTGTGTTCTTGGAAGACACCCGTGTTCTGCGCTGTATCCTGATAAAAGATGTACATACTCACGTACAATGATTGTTGTCATGACATTGAAGGTTTATTGCGTTCAAATGGTACGTGCCTCTACGGTACATGACAGGTTCCGATGCTACGGTGACAGAAGGACGCACCCCTGAATGAATGTAAACGAAACGCTCATCTCAATCATGTGCTGTCTTCTTCGGAATGCTTCCCATCCCATGTACAGGTGGCAAGTCTTGGCTATGATGTTTTGTTTCAGGACTTGGATGTTGTTTGGTTTCGATCTCCTCTGGAATACTTCCATGACAAAAACTCTCCAAGCCATGGATTTGATATCTACTTCCAAGATGATGGCAACAGGGCTGTCTTTTATGCTCCATACAGTGCCAATAGTGGCTTCTATTATGTCAGAAGCAACGAAGTTACGCAATACTTTTTCAATTCACTTCTGATGTCGGGTGACCTGATCTACACGTCTCATAGTCATCAAATTGCATTGATTGCTATTTTGTCCGAGTTTGCCTCCAGATATGGGATGAAGGTCAAGGTCTTGTCCAAAGACACTGACGAGTTTCCCGGTGGGCACGCCTTCCATGCGCCAAATCGAAAGGATTTCTTGAAGGATATGTTTGCAGGAAAGGTGAAACCTTACATCTTTCACATGAGTAAGTTTTGCAGGGTTTATGAGCTCCGTAGCCCTTTGTGGTAGAATGCTTGGTCTCACCTGGTTACGTGCGATATTCAGGTTGGACGGAGAACAAGGACAACAAAAAGCTCTACTATCGGCAAATTGGTGAATGGTTCGTTCATGATAAATGCATTGGCGCGACTGCAAATGATATTCTGAGGCAAGAAGTTGCAGGCAACGTGGAGAAGGGTTCATTGGTGGCTCCGTGTTGTGCTGCCGAGGCTATCTTTTCCTGTCATTACATTGACAAACCCAGTAAGGAACCATGTCCTGACGCGCCCTATATCGATCCTAACAAGGGGGTTCCCTTTTGGTAGACCGGCCAACCACATCCAACGAAGGAACCGCCATAGCGACACCGTACTGTTCAGGAATTCTAACAATATTCATAACGAAGCTAAGACAATCCGGTTTCAAGGTAATACAGAATTTCAATTCTCTACCGCAGGATGGGCAGCGTGAAATTGTGTAGGTTAGCCACTTTGAAATTGAAGTTGAGTTGAAAGGGCCCGACCATCACTCGGAAGGTGGTTACATCACGGGAACTCTTCGGTAAATCCAAAGGAAGGACTGGTTTCTCTCTCTCTCTTTCTCTAGCTAGTGTACCATCCTCAGCCATATGGTTCCACTTCAGCTTCTTCGAGGAGAAAGGAGCACGACAGCGAAGGAACGAAACGAAGAGAACGTCGGAACGTGGAAAAAACATGGATGAAGCTTTTATCCCCAACCCTTCCTCACCTTTGCTTGCCTGGGAAGATCCAATTTGCCCAAGACATGAAGGGTAAAATCGAAAAGTAGGCAGTGATCTGATTGGCTAAACGTACCGCGGTACTCATTAAAGACACATTATTACTTATTGCATGGACAGTATTGCTGATGTCACCGTATCGTCCCTCTTACACCGGATTGGCGCGAAAGCTTTCGCTCTATTACAAAAGCAAAGCTATCAACAGCGATTCCATCGACAATGATGCTAAGTCATCTCTGGTGACATTGACAGATAGCCACAGCAGCACAATGCCAGCAGCAGCGGCGGTGGCAGCCATGCAAGGAGAGGGAGATGAAGATGGAGCCTCACAACCCAACAACATGGGTCAGCAGAGCCAGCGGCGAGTTTCTCAAGACAAGAGAACTCATCGGCTGCAAGAGCAAAACAGGGGCAACGGCAACGGCAACAAGAAAAGAAAGAAGAAAGGCGCACAGCTAACTCTGTTCGGAGAGGAAGCTTTTGAGGCCATTAAACACTGTGAAATCTGTAAAGCTCGAGCTTACGGTTTAAGAGAACCCCACAGGCGTCACCATCCACTTTGTACGAATAATCGGCGCACACGAGGGATTACATCTGAAGCCACACTCGCAACGTTGGCAGAGGAAAAACGCCTCAGGAGACACTTCTCGGCTCCTATTAAGTACTCGGCATCCCACTTAGCTGGTGGAAGTGCATTCTTTAACACCCGCACAAGAGTTTCTAAGCCCGCTACGGAGTCAGCCAACAGAATGAATGCGGCACAAGAACAACAACCTGCACAAGAACAACAACCTGCCACTACAACGTGCATCGATTTCTGCAAAGCCGTGAACAGCAAGATAGTGGATGAAACGTTTTGCAATGAATACGCCAACAACAGGGCTCCTCTTGCCATGCTAGCAATGGCTGGCACTGTAGTTGATAAGATTATTAGGCCCAAACATGGCGCCCTTATCTCCTCCTATTTTGATGGGATGACAATGACAGTGCCGGCATCCCCAAATTCATGTAAAAATCCATTCTATCACAGTATCGAGGGCCAAAAACTCCTACTTGTTGACTGGAAAACCATCTTTGGCTTGGAGATTATGTGCCCTTGTTGCGACAAAACCCCCTTGAAAAACCAGAGAACCAACTTTTCGCATAATAAGATTCTTTTTCCCATCTTCGGCTTGGATGGTCCGCCGCAGTGGTGTATGGTGATGTCCATGAAATGTGGCTCTTGCAAGTCGCGTTTCCATGCTAATGAGAGTGTTATCCTCTCTCGATTGCCGGCATATGCAGCTGCTGCGTATCCTGTCGATTGCCGATTTGCTCTGAAAAAGAACAGTCATCTGGGGAGAACTGCCACTGATGTTTTCGACCTGCTGTTACCAACTTATGGAAATGGAGAGCTATGCAGTCGACTACTCTTTCAAACGGTGAACCGGGCTTATTTGGAAAGAGTTGCTAGCTACTATTCTTACATTACAACAACAAAAGCACCTGCGAGTTCCACCGACGCAAATGAATCAGTCAAGGAATACCTGCAAAAGGATGGGCAATACATGCGATTCTTTCCACCCCAGGGAGATTACATCCGAAATGTTTATGATGAAGCTTGTCGCAACAGTCAAAATCCGTGGGGTATCAGCGACCACGACCGGCACACCAGAGAAATTCAAACTGTCCAGTGCCAAAGTATCTTTGCTCAGGATCATACTCATCAGGTTGTGAAGAACTACTTCCACAAGAAGAAGCTTGGAGCAGAGGCCATGTGGACGTGTTCCACTGAAACCGGCGAGATTGCTGCAGCTGTTCTTGTTCCTTCCACAAAGACAATCCATTTCTCCCACGCCGCCAAACAGCTGTCACGAAGAGACCATTTCACGCCAAAGGTCATGTACAGTGATACCTGGCCTTGTAAAAGTCACTTTTGGTCCAACCTGCTGGGAAACACAGTGGAAGGGAGACTTGGTTTGTTCCATTACATCCAGCGAATTATTCGCACGCTGAAAAAAGGACATGCTGATCACTTACTGTCTGTTAGTGTTCTTTTGAATGCCGTCTACGTATACCACAAAGATGACATGGAGAAGCTGATCTCTGCGTTGAAAGCCGGAACTGTCAATGGGACAAAGTATACAGAAGATGAGATCGATGAAATGAGAAGCACTCACACCTTCCGACAAAGATATGGGAAATACCTTCGCAAGGAGATTCGGCCACCAGGATCAATGAGAGTTCTCTTGCAAGGCTGGTTCAATCGATTCAAGTGCACAGCCAGCAATAATGATTCCTCCGGGGTTGCCGAAGGTCGATTGGATCCACGAACACAACAAACATTGTTCAGCTCTGAAACAAAAACAGCAGTGGTAAATTGCAAGGAAAAAGCGATATACCTGCAAGATCCACTACCGTTGAACGAGATGTATGAAGTCATTCCACCAAATCCCAACTCTGCACACGGCCTCAACGAATATCTCTCTCGTCGCGGTGAATCAGGTTTGGAAGCATTCCACTTACTGTTGGCGCACTTCGCCAATTGTGGCATGAGGAGTAGCCTGGCGGATAATCTCAACTTGACCGGAACTGCCAGATACAACCTTGGAGTGCGTAACAAGCTGCGACTTGCTCGAAGTCCATTGGATGAAGCTTCTCTGGCCACAAGAAAAAGAATCCCTGCGAGTTGGGAGGGAGTGTTGCCATATTTCAATCATTCTGAGCTTGGGTGGGTGAATAGTTTGGCAGAGGAAGCCGGTGCACCCGTTCCTTTCACCTACGTGGAAGAGTTAGGAGAAGACAATGGTGAGCGATTTTTCTCTGAGTACATTCAATGGATGAGTAAAGAGAAACCAACCTATGATTCAGATGAGCGATGCTTGTGCCAAAATTGTACTGGAATCCAACAACAAGTGCACCATGACGAGATTCAAAATCGCCCACCCAGTGAGCCGGCATCTCCATCGCCCACAGCAACGGCTACTATCCCACAACAGCAAGCAGCGATCCCTCCTTCACCGCCAAATAACCCAGCAAACCCAGCGATTTCACCCACCATGGTGCACTATCAACAACAACAACAACAACAACTGCAACGTCAGCATCAATTTATGCAGTATCAAATGATGCAAGCGGCGCATCAATGGTTTCTTACCACAACGCCAACTGTCTACTTCTGTTGCGAAAGGTTTAGAGCATGGCAGAACGCAGTTCCAAGAAAGAAGGGCCGTCCGCCGCATGATGCTCATTGTCGAGGTCCAACGTGAGTAATGAGTAAATAAATACGTAGTTAGTAGTTTCGAGTAAAAATATTCGTTAGTCGGGAATTGTGACCAAAAACTGGTCAAAACCTTAGTAAAACTGTTTTTTGACGGTTGGAAAAGTGGTTTGAATCATTCAAACGACATCTAAACAAAACTGACGTATCGGGTGTCTTTTTCATGTCTTTTTCATGTCGTTGGAGGTGCGGGGAGGCGTATAAAAGAGGGGATATGACACCCTTTTATTAACGTAATGTCTCTATGACTGCCTATCCCCTCTTTTTTATAAGTAAAAAGGATCGATGACGTGGTCTTACTGTCATCCGATTTCGAGAATCTGGAATCCAAAAGGATTCTTTTTTCTTCTTTTTCTTCTCTTTTCCCCCCGGCGCCCTGCCTAATCCCCCCAAAAAGTTCATGAAGGACGATCGTGACGAGATGTCAGGAGATCATCCATTCTGTCAAAAAGGAGACTAGCTATCATAGCTATAGGAGATCTACAAATACCAGCATGGCGTCGATGATTATTGGTCTCATCAATGGTATCAATGATGTGTTGCATGTGGAGCCCATTTCGATAATAGTCGACACATTGTTTTGGCTGCTGGTCATTCTGATCGGATACCCTTTGGCTGCTGTGGTTTACTTATTTCGAATGATTTTTCAAGTCTTGGGCTGGTGCCTTGGTGGTGGTGGAAAAGTGGATCCCCATTCCTTTGAACACGAAGAATTGGCAGTTTTTGTGACAGGCTGTGATACTGGATTTGGGCGAGAAGCAGCGCCAGCGCTGACTGCACGAGGCTTCACTGTCTTTTGTGGCTGTCTCCACAAGTCCTCATTTCAATACTTTGAAAAAGACTCCCTGGCAATTCCTGTCCAGCTGGATGTCACAAGTGACAAAAGTGTTGCCGAAGCTTACAAGGTTGTGGTGGCTTGGTTGGGTGCTGGATCCAAGAAACGGCGACACTTCCATGCTCTCGTCAACAATGCAGGGATTTCCGGTGCTGGGTTCGTGGACTGGGTCAAAATGTCTGATTTCCAGGCTGCAATGAATGTAAACTTTTATGGGGTTCTCCGATGTGTCAAGGAGTTCATGCCTCTTTTCAAGAAGCAAGCTGCCGAAGGGACTTATTCTGGTGCCCGGATTGTCAACATGAGCTCTGTTGCAGGCATGTTTCCTGGTATGGGCTGCATGACACCTTATGTGGGTTCCAAATATGCAATGGATTCGATGACAGAAAATTTACGTTTGGAGATGATGCCTTATGGAGTACGTGTGGTCTGCATTAATCCGTCTTTCCACGCCACCCCCTTGACAAGACCTGATACTATTGACGAAACTATGTGCCACGTCTGGAATACTATGTCACCCAGTCTTCGGGAAGATTATGGAAAAGGTGAGTACAAAATGGCAATAAGTATGAACGAAGTTGAATTTTCTGTTGGTTTGCTTCTCAACTTAGACTACTTGTTTCTTGAAAACTTCTCACAATATTCCAGGCTGCCTGCAAGCTATCCTAGATGGCTCCAAGGCTGTAGAATACATGAAGTGGGATTCCAAACATGTTGTGAGAGCTATAGAAAATGGTGTTGTTGATAATTATCCTGCAAGCCGAGAATTGGTGGGGATGGATGCAAAATATGTCTTTTCGTTGTTGAGGATGCTGCCAGCAGGATTTGGTGTTCTCGGAGTCAAAGTCAAGCCAGCCTGCATGCAGCGATGATGGGAACAGACCAGATAGCCAGAATGTGAGGCAGTAGGAATGTCTTTGGTTAAAATTAAAAATAGCAGGTTATTGCTTTCACATGCATGCATGTGCATCTGACCATCAGATGTGAAATCTTAAATCACTCTGCTTCTGGCTACCGTACCATCCTACTGGGTTTGGCTATAGCAGCGCAATGCATACCGATACCAGAAGTAATCCCAAGTCAGACTCCTTCCTTCACAACCGGTACTGGTAGCTATCGGCTAGCTACGGTAGCTGGCTCTCCCAAAAGGTGATCGAGATCGGGTCGAAAGATCGTTTCTGGCTGGTGTCATCACGCAGCTAAGCCACCTTTTTTCGCACGAACGAACCAAAGAAGAATGAGGCTGGCTGCTAGTAGTAGCTACTAGTAGCCAGCAGAAGCAAGGGCTCGATCATCTTTCTTCACAACAACAAACACGAACTACGGTCAACTCCGTTCCTGTCTGTTGACGAGGACCCTACTAAGATCTCCGTTGTACTGAAAAGAGAACCTAAACTTAATCGAATCCAATCCAATCCAATTAATAGTAGTATCAGATCCACAAAGCAAACGAAATGGATCCTTCCATGAAGCACCCGTCAGCAATGCCTCCAGAAGACGATGATGATGTTACAGCACCTAGCAGTCTTGCCGGCAGAATTCTTCCTGTCGTCTCAGCTGGGTGCATCTTTCTCCTGACGACCAGTCTGGTGCTACTGAATCATCAAAGCCCCGCTGTTTCTTCTTCCTCAGTGTCAGTGCTACTAGATCCATTATCATTTCAAGATAATATCGTCCTGACGCCTCAAGAGCGACAATCTGCCGAAGAGGATCGCCGGTTCTTGCAGGACATGATGGGAGAAGACGACCAAGCCGATATGGTGGATGACGGCTTTACCCGCGACGATACGTGCAAGCGCTACATGAGCAAATTCTTGAATGGCACCACGGACTTTAACGACGTGTGCGACGGGGTCTACAATGCCTACGAAGAAGCCGATTGTGCCGAGGACATTCACGTCAAAATGATGGCACAAGGTATCGAGAAAAACGATACCGGTCTGGACGACTTTTATCAACGTTGGGAATGCTGCAGCAGTATCTACCAGTACTACAACACGCATTGTCACGAACCAAAACTAGACAGTGGACGACTGTTGGGAATTCTCAGCGTTTTGGTGCTTTGCGGAATTGTCAAATCATTTGTGCATCAAGTCATGCAACTGGAATGGCTCCCGGATGTTTGTGTCTATGTCTTGGTGGGAGCCATTACGGGGGGCATCTTGCGAGTCTTGGCACCCGATATCGTGGCCGAACGATTGACATTCAACAATGATTTGTTTCTACACATTTTGCTGCCACCCATCATCTTTCAAGCAGCCTTGAAGATTGACAAACGATCCTTTCGAAGAGATATTTTCCCAATACTCAGTTTTGCCGTGATTGGTACCGCTCTCAGTGCGGGAACGGTCGGAGTCATCACTTACTACATGACACGCATTGGATCGGGAGTACATCTTCCCCTGCTGGATTCTCTCTTGTTTGGATCTCTCATTTCCTCCATTGATCCTGTAGCAACTCTGGGGATTCTCTCCAGTGTAGGTGTCAGCCAACGAGACACCTTGTTTACCATTATATTTGGGGAAGGAATGGTCAATGACGCCGTGGCGATTGTTCTATTTGACACACTGACCAAACATCTCGGAGACGAATCTGCCGTGGGAAAAGCTACCGCGTTGGAAATGCTCCGGTACTTTGTTCAGATTTCCTTTGGGTCCATGGCCGTTGGAGCATTGTGTGGGGCACTATGTACCTTGTACTTTTACAATGTCTTTGGCAAGCACACTCCCGTCACAGAGGTGGCCCTCTTCTTTTCCTTTGCATTGATTCCGTTCTACTTGAGTGACATGCTGGGAGGATCCGGCATCATTGCCATTATGACCATGGGGTTCTTCTTGGACTACTATGTGGTGGGTGGCAATCAGAGCGAGGAGGGAGAATGGATGGACTTTATGCAACTACGCTGCAACCGAGATCGAGCCGCTAGGAGCGAGGGCGACTTGGCGCGGGTAATGTCCGAGGAAGAAGAGGAACAGCCCAGTCGTTGGGATCATTTGAAACTATCTTGGGACAGAGCATTCTCGGGCAGGGGACACATTGTCACCAAAAGTCGAAGCCACGTTGGATTTGTCGCGGAGGTAATTGCGGATGTGATGGAGACCGCCATCTTTGCCTACTTGGGTTTGTTCCTGTTCAATGCCAATAATGCATGGGATTGGAAGCTCAATGGGATTGCGGTCTTTGGGTGTGTTTCGAGCCGACTCGCCATGGTTCTAGCGGTCAGCTTCCTGATCAATGCATTTGTATTTTGTGATGTGGAAGGAGCGCTCGGTCGCTGTTTCCGCAAGATTTGGTCTGACCTTACGACACGCCAACCACCAAACACTCTTACCCAAAGTACGCGAACTACAATGAGTGCTCCACTCTTGTCAGACTATGACACACACTACGACGAACCACCAACCGCGGAAGAAGATGACGACGACGATGATGACCCGGAGTCCAGGTACGAACTGAAAAATGCGCCAAGCTCTTTGTGTTTCTTTGCTGGAAGTCTGACACGACTGTCACTCACTTGCCTTTTGTGCTACTCAGCGTCAACAAGCGGTTTTTGGATATGAAAACCCAAATGATGGTCGTTCTGGCAGGCGTTCGCGGGGCTGTTTCCTTCGCACTGGTGGCCAACGTGCCACTGTATAACAGCGTTAGCAAACGGGGGTCACAATACAAAGCAGAACTCAAGGCCATGACGTCCTCCTCCATCGTCTTTACTCTGTTTGTATTCGGCGCGATCACCTACTTCATCGTGAGAAAGGACCAGCAGGATCCAAACCGAGAAAGAATAGCTGGCAACTTTACACACCGACTGATGAGCATGCCCCTTGCATCGGACAATGAGGGGGAAGACGATTCTGATGCTGTCGCTGATACCAGCTTACTAATGGAGGTGGAAACAGAAGCACCCCGCCGAGCTCGCTTCCATTCAGCTAGCTAAATGTGCAAGTGTGTCTGTACCAGCGCGGCTGAGAAAGCACTCAAAGTACCGCTCTCAACCTTCGAGGCAACGAAATTGCACGCTGATGGGTGTCCACTTTTAGGGTATCGGAAGTCCACGTTTTCCATTTCAATGAACTTCTGCGTAGACAAATTGATAACAAAGAGGCTGCGGTTGGGGGGGGGAGACGAATTTCAGAAGCACTTGAAGGAACGCTTTCAACCTTCGAGGCCATGAAATGAATGGTTCCCTGCAGTCGACAAGAACTCGAGAGCTTTCTTCTCTTGCCACTATCTATTGTAGTGCCTATCTATCTGAACGATTTGATCAGCACCTTCGACAAAAGGAGGCTTCAAGTTGATAATTCATAACTACCGCATCACTACCAAGCTTAGATGCCGCAACAAGCTGTGTATTCATGGCAGAGGTATCCTCGGCAACGTCTACTTTTTCCCATCGCCCAACTCCTCGTAACCAGGCATAACTTTTCCAGCTGGAACCTGGAGAATCTTGCGCATCAATGCAATGTCGCCCTTCTTCTTTGCTTTGTCGTACTGGCGAGCTTCCTTCTTGGAAACAGTTTGACCCCAGAAGTTGGTTGTTGCATCTTTGTACTTGTCAGCGTTGCTGTTCATGTTTCCTCCAGCCTTCTCCAAAACCTCGTCATTGTCGAGTTCTTTCTCGAACTTCTTCTTGCGTGCTACGGCCTTCATTGCACGCTCTTCCGAGTAGCCCTCGATCGTCAAAGTGCCGTTAGCCATGTTCCACTCTTCCTTGCACACACTTGAATAGAACTCTTTGCTATGCGAAATCATCAAGACAGCTCCTCCCCACCTGTTTAAGGCAAGAGACAAAGCTCCCAAGGCTTCTCTGTCCAGAAAGTTTGTCGGCTCGTCACTGAAGAGCAAGAAGTTTCAAATTAGACAAGTTAACAACGAGACTGAAGCTTCACCTCCAGACATGACTTACAGAACAACCAAGTGTGGGACGGTCCAGAAAGCGGATGCCAGAACTAGTTTGACCTTTTGCCCTCCAGACAAACCTCGGATCTTTCCGTATGTGCCAAACTCCTGCTCCAAGCCGAATCCGTCAAGGTGTTTCTGGATTTCAGAAGTGGTTACCGGGCGCAAATCGAGACCTGCTTCCTTCGAAGCAATCTTCTCATCAGTTTGTTTGAGAAGCTTTTCAAAGCCCATGGCCAGGAGGTCGTCCTTGCTGTAGTATTTGTTGTCCTTTTCTGGTACTCCAGTCTTCTTCACCTCGTACTCGAGCTTTCCTGCCCGCAAACGTCTACTCCAGATTCCCTCGAGCCCAAACGCGTCAATGGCGGCCTGCTCTTGTTCCGAAATCTTGAAACCTTCGCTCTCCATCTTCTCTCTGTCCCAGCCATGCTTAAAGCGCCACTGAAGGTACGCCACTGGACTCTGCTCCATGTGCTGTTCGACGTGATAGAAAGCATGCTGGGCAACGTACGCGACACGAACATTGGGACTATCCATCAACCAAGGAAAGGAGTGAAAGTGAGCTTCAGGAACGGCACTTCTTGGCAGCATGATAAGCATCTGGATACTCACTGGATGTAGAATTTGCAACCACCGCCAAGGTTGGAGGGCACAGTCTCGCCTACGATCATCTTAATCAGAGTTGTTTTACCTAGGGAGAGCATTGTGTCAGCTAGGTGGCAACGAATAGGGTAAACACAAAGCCTGCTTCAACGTACCTGCTCCATTGGCTCCCAGAACCACAACTCTCGAAGAAAGGGACATCTTCAGGTTGATGTTTGTAAGCTGATTGGTGTCGACTCCAGGGTATTGGAAGTCCACGTTTTCCATTTCAATAAACTTCTGCGTAGACGTTTTGATCCCATCGAGGCGGCCTGGTTCAGGAAAAATAAATTTTAGCATGCCATCATCATCCATGTTCAAGTTTCCTAGAGGGCCCCGCTCTTTGGCCAATTCACGGAAATAGTTCTTTGATTGTGGGTGTTTGGCAAAGTCCTCCATGTTACCCTTGTAGTGCACCAGCTTGTTGTATGGCCCCCACTGTTCTCGATTTTCGTAGTGAATCACATCTGTACAGATGTTGTCCAGAAACGCAACATCATGGGAAACACAAAGAACCGTTTGATGGGACAATGCCAGGAGGTAATCCGTGAGCCACTTGACGGCGGATTCGTGTAGATGGTTTGTAGGTTCATCTATACAGCAACACAGCAATCAAATAAATGTGAGCAAGATAGTAGTTGAGTTGACGAGCAACAAGGAATGTGAACTCACCCATGAGGTAGATATCAGGATCCATTAGCACAGCCCGGACTAGACGATGCTTCATCTGCCAACCTCCTGACAGGGCACCAATGGTTCCTTTCATCATTTGGTCTGTAAAATCAAGCTCCTTGAGCTTATTGACGCAGTCTTCTTCGCTTCTACCAGTGGATTCCACTAAATAGGGAAGCATCATCTGTTCCTCAAACTTTGGGTCCACATTGGAACCCGAGTCCACGTATGCTGTCTTTAGGTGCGATGGCCACCCATCCAACTTGCCATTGTTGATTGCGCTCATCAAGGTAGTTTCTGGGTGGAAGTAAGCACTTTCTCTGTCAGTACACATTCACATTTCAACAAACCACAGGCTAATGCATTGACTCACTTCCAACTCCATTCTGTCCCACCAATGCATAGCGGTGGCCTCGCAATAACTTCAAGCGGGTCTGATGCAAAAGGATCTTTCCTCCGTATGCCAAGCTGAAAAACGAAACGGGTAACATGTGAGGCTGAGCTCAGACAATCCAATTCCGCTCTCTTTTTTGTACTCACTTGAATCTCAAATCACAGAGTTCTTCGGCATCATCGTCATCGTCCCCAAACAGCGAAGCATCGTCCAACGCAAACGCAGTTTCGGCTTTTTGACGAAAGGTTTCCACCAACTCTTTGTTCCCCGTCACCAGCGACGAAAGGTATGGCTCCAATGCTTCTTCCCATACGGATGCATCGTACTCATGAGCATCCGTCAGGCCTGCCGCGAGGAACGCAACGTAGGCGAGAATCTCCTCGCTACCATCATTTTCGTCAACAGCTTTATTCCCAACTTCTTCGGGTAGGGATTCACGCAACAGCTTCAACAAATCCTGAGGTGGCTCTAGAAGCGCCATGGTGCTATAATAACTTATTGACAGATAATAGACTTTCTAGCAACACCGACCGTGACAGAGGCACTGTTATGATGATCACTTTAGCTACAGTACCAGTGAGAAAATCGGAGAGCTTGGGTGGTGGTGTGGTGGTGTGGTGTGTGGTGGGGTCTGTGCGGCAAAGAGGAACGTCATCGTTAGTCACGAATGATTGCCCTTCGCGGCTATGCTAGCATAACAGTAAGCCGGCTCAGTATGGCAAACAATGTTCCGTGAAATGACCACGAATCGAATCTTTTGCGTGAGACAGCCGCTATTTAGACTGTACCAGTAGTCACTCACTACTTGATGATGAACTCCAATCTTGATGATGTATGGTGATCATGATGAGAATTCAACCGGGATCTCAACAATCTCTGCATTCGCAACAAGGCAGCCAAGATTGCAACAGACTTGACTGATGGAACTCTTCTGTGGTCATGAAACGCAGAACTATTGACAGCGAGCTAGTCTGGAGTGAACACCTGCAGGGAATTCGCATCCCCTCCCATACGGTACACGTGTACCCGCTATGGAGGTGGCCGTGTTGAGTTCCGAAGAGCTAGCTCTAGTAGACAAAGACGCAAAAAGCTCTAGACAAAGAAGCAAAATCCGAAAGAAGAACGCTAGCTAGCTGGCTAGATAGGAAAGCGCCTTTGAATGAAACTGATCAATGTTTGTAGCTGGTTAATTTATTTATGATAAGTGTAATAAAAGCCCCCGATGAAAAAAAAATCGCTGGCGTATGGTTGTCTAGAGGCCCTTGTTCCATGATTGTACCCTTCTTGTAGCTCTGGCTTGTGTGTGTGTAGCACTCTCTGACTTTCCTCTTCGTGTTCGTTTATGACCTGGACGGGAACGAATCGAATGTCGAGCACGGAGAGAGTCCAAAGAATGCGGCACGATGCTGTTCCAAAGCCTTCTTTGGCGCAGCAGCAACGGCTGTTTGAGTTTTGGGTGATTTCATCCCTGCTACTGCCGCTTCCGCTTTTGCCGCACGGTGATTAGCAGCCCTACGCTGCATCTCTTCGATGCTCAAATGGTGGTGATCCGACACGTGAGGATAGAGATACTTGTGCATCTCAAGGACGTTCTTGGCACCCGGATCAATGTTGGATACCTTCGAAAGGACGCGACAAACATAGTCGTAGGTCTTGGAGTCAATGCATAAACTCTCTAATGAGTTCATCAACGAAACATAAGCCACAGCCGATGCATTCACCGTCACAAACTTGTACTCCCGAACGGCAACTTCTGTTTGGTTGATGGCAAGGTCGTAGGCCGCCGCTTTGGTAGCCTTATCTAGCACCTTGTTTGGCAACAAGTCCAAGAAATGGCGAACAAACGCCAACGCCGTGGGAGTGTTCACTCTCCAATCAATAGCTTGAAGAATAGCGTACTCCATTGCCTCTACTTGTTCGATCGTGTAAGCCCCGTGGCTCAGATTTGAAACAAGTTCAGGATCCATTGCCTCCGGTTCGTGGATCTTAATTGCAGTGTACAGAGATGTCATTGCAGCCAATTGATAGATTGTCGGCTCCTGAAGAGTTACCAAACCCAACTCACTGAGCAGGAAACGATCCAAATACGAAATCGAAATCGCCACAGTCTCCCGGTTGAATTTGCAGAAGTCTACAATGGAATAGCACCACTCAACCAACTTTGCCCTAACTTCCCCATCCACCGCAATCTTCTTCTTCGGCCCCGGCGCTACATGGTTGTATTGTCGAAGATAATCACTACAAGAATATCCATGCTCCTCCTGGTGGCACATGGCCGCAATGGTTGAGATAACTTGTTCAGACATCATCCTAGCTAGTATGTTCAACTACGCTCTTCCGGAAAGACAGACACTTGTTATTGCGGTGGCTTGTTCAAGGTGCAATGCACATCCTTGTCCCAACTTGTGAGAAAAACCTGGGGCGGAAAGCTTAGAGTCGGGACGACTCTTTGATATTTCGGTTCTTGAGAAGATTTTTGAAGTCTTGCGCACCAGTTGCCGCTGAGCTGCGGGCCAATTTGGGAACCTATGCCACCCCGACGATTTCGTCCCGTTGATCCCGCAAGATATTCTAACGAGCCTCAAACGTCTAATTCAGCCTTAACCTTAAACCTGAATTCTCGGCCTAAGCCTTTGTCTCAGGGTTACTCGGCATTTTGTCTATTTAAGGCTATTGTATCTGATTACAGAGTTGCCTAAATGTTCTATGCTCCTTTGTAAAAGTGGCTTATGTCTCACAATGTCTACGGATGTCTCACAATGTCTACGGATGTCTCACAATGTCTACCAATGTCTATCAATGTCTCTTAATGTCTCACAATGTCTACTAATGTCTACCAATGTCTACACAGTACAATAAAACAGTACAAAAATGTCTCACTTTGTCTACCAATGTCTCACAATGTTTCACTTTGTCTACTAATGTTTACCAATGTATCACTTTGTCTCCTAATGTATTTAAAAGTCGCACAATGTCTACTTTGTCTACTTATGTCTACTATAGGTGTGTAGACATTTACATAAGGATAGAAGGATCACTTAATCGCCAAAACACTTTCCCAAACAGACAAAATGCCGAGTAACCCAGGCTTCAAAGGGTGGCAACATGTACAGGACCGTCCGACGGTTTTCGCTCAGGCTTTCAAAACTGTCAGGACTGGTTATCGTTTATAAGGGCATGTTAAGGGCATGTTTATTTAAGGGCATGTTTAAGGGCATGTTGACGATTTAAGGGCATGTTTTAAGGGCATGTTTATTTAAAGGCATGTTCATTGTTGATAGGGGCATGTTCTATGGTGTTTTAATGAAGGCTTAAGGGCATGTTTCGAGGCATTAAGGGCATGTTTTAAGGGCATGTTTATTTAAGGGCATGTTTAAGGACATGTCGAAGATTCAAGGGCATGTTTAAGGGCATGTTTAAAACGGTCCTCAGTCGTGGAAAGTTTGAGTTTTTTTAAATCCTGAGTGATAACCGTCGGACGGTCCAGCAACCCACCGGCACTGCGGGAGGCGGGAGGGTTGCAATTGAGTTGTGCTATGGTGCCTTTCAGCCATCCATACGATGCACAGGTATCTTTTCACCCATCATCTCCTGGATGCAAGCTCCTGTTATTAAAACTGGTAGGTCAAGAGTTCGCACCTCAATTGCAAATCGCAAACGACAAGACGGTTGTTCTGCTTCGCCAGGGTTGCTGCATTCTTTTCCAGCTAGTAGGAATAATAAATCGAATTCGATATTTTCAACATCCTTCTATTAGAGCTGGATAGCTAGCTGCAGCTGTACCTGTTCTAGCTACATGTACCTAGCCATGGAAATACGGGTACTAGCTAGTACAGTGTACTTGGTTTGTTGGGTGGATCGGAACCTGTGAAATGGTTAAAAACGGTCAATTTTGCTCATTTATCACGTGGATCCAACCTGCTCGCCATTCGTTTGGTGGATGGCATGCTTTCAGCGAAACTCCCTTCACAAATTCGCCCATTTTGCTCATTCCTTTGAAGCAGCCGTCTTCTACTGTACCATGAGCGAAATCAATGCAAGTAAGACGGAAGACTCCTTTGACAACTTTCCCGTGGTATGCCCGACAGAAACAGAAGATTCGAATGATAGCGTTTCAGTGGTACGTTCTCGGTGTTGTCATTTGCCCCTTCTTCGTTCGCTTGTTCTGGCTTACAATCCACGCAACAATGTGTTCAGAGTACAGCCGACACGAGTGGATCCAAAGTCTATCTGAATGTTTATGACTTGAATCCAGTCAATTTCTTCTTAGGACCCGTCGGAATCGGATTGTACCATTCTGGAGTAGAGATCGATGGATTTGAATACAGCTTTGCAAGTCGAGGCGGAGGAATCTTCAAGATTGAGCCTCGCAAAGCTAGAGGTGTTCGTTTCTACCAGCAAATTGAAATGGGAAGTATCGATGAAGAACAAGGGATTCAACAGCTGCAACGAGCTTTGGACGAACTAAAAGATGGCTTTCAGCCGCAAAAATACGACTTTGTGACAAACAACTGTAATCACTTTTGCAATGCTCTTCTTGTCAAGCTACTTGGCAAGGGTCTTCCTGGGCATGTGAATCGAATGTCTTATCTTTGGACGACGGCTAATATCCCCTGGCTGGTCCCCAAGAATATTCGCCGAAACGCCCCCGTTGGAGATAAGAATCTAGAAGCCTACAAAGGCATCATTCCCTTTTTGCGGTCCATAACAGACGTCTCCAACGTGGTAATAAGTGAATGGATCGACGCTAGTAGCTCATTATCGGACGTTGTATCTACTACTAAGGGTCTTAGCTTGCTCCTTGATGATCAGTGCATCGAAGTTGAGTTGGATTGATCATACAGATAGGTCATATGCTTTTGCAGCCGCCTACTGGCATCGTCATGACGGCCTAGAACAGTTATTAAATGGCGAGTGGCGGAGTCCCAAACACTAACAGGAAACTACTAGCAGCTAGTATTGTCATGAGACTATTCGAAGAAATGGAAATGGAAATGGAAAAGGAACAGCACAAAATGAATCGGTACCGGTATTGTATGTGGTTTGGATGGATGGATCGATTCATGCAGGTCATCTATAATGTATCAAGTTGGGTGGGGAGAACGACGTTAGATTCTCCAAACAGGGTAGGCAAATAAATAACATAATTTCAATACAAAGCAAGATACTAAAGCAAGATAAGAGACCGAGAAGATTCGAAAGGGGAGAGAAAGAATCGCGTACAACATAACAGGAGCGAAACGCGTCATATTGATTGAAGAACCTGGTGTAGAAACACAAACTAAGAGTCTCATTGCATTATTCAGCTGGCGTCTACCAACTAGCTGGGTGGATGCTGTAAATAGCCAGGATGGATGGAAACCAGGGTTATTCTATTGCTTTCCAAGGCTTTGAATTTCCGTGGATGGTACCGGTGTGCCAAAATTCTTTGGCAACGTCTTGCCACTATGTAGTACTGTCAACACAAACAAACCTCATCAGTACCGTATTCCTACCTTATTCCCAACTATGATAATTGATGTTCTTTAGAAGTCAAGACACCACTCTGAAGTAAAGCCAATCATTTATTTATGTCTCTGTGCATCCCACAGATTGAAGCCCTTTGGCGCTGGTCCGTTTCCAACCTCTTATCGGATACCGGTACGGGTACCGGTACAGTGTACTAGTACACCGTGAGGGACGGAACGGCATGGTGGAAACGCCCACAACTGACGGTATTTTGTTTTCGCGCCCTTATTTTTCATTTGGTTCACTAGGCGCGAAAGCTGGTTCACTACGCGCACCAAAACGCGCTCCTGTAAACATTAGAACGCAAGGCCGTTCGACCATTCACAGCGTCACACTCCCTAGCATTCCATAAAAAGATGTTTCGTCTACAAATGAGCGCGTCACCAGAAGAGCTGGCACCAAAGATCTTCCTTGAACTTAATAACATTGATTACACGTTGTCATCTACAAATTCCTCCATTAGTGTTAGCGAGATTTCCGAGACTAAATCCGAACCCACTTTTCAAAATCAAACCGACTCAGAATCAGAGAACCTTCCGGAAGATTCTTGGTTCGAAGGTATCCTTTTGGTCACCGTTATTGCATGCTGTGCGTTTGTAATCGGCTTACTTGTGGGAACCGCTGGTGTCGTGTTTTTTTGAGTTCATTGTTTTGACTATGTCCGAAATACCAATCGAAGTCGCGTCGTCCGTTGTGGCATCACCGGATACCACAAAATCATCTATAAATGAAGAGACAATGATCGATGCCCTCGAACTATGCATTACGGGCAAGCGTATTCCTTACAACAACACTGTTGAGTCTGATGTTCACGATGTCCTTGACCGTGCTACTGTTACTCCCACATCCGAGATTGAGATGGAGGGTATTGATACCAACATTATTGCCAGCGAAGTTTGCCGTCGTATTCTACTTCATAAGTTAAGCGATACACAATGTGAATTACTGAAGGCGGCTATTACGGTAAGTGGTAGAAATACGTTTACAAAAGAAGCCGTCGATCAAGTAATGGACGAGGTCAACATGGAGATACAGGACACCCCGATTAGTAAAAAACGAAAACGCGATGATTCTTTCTTCGACACCATGAATTCTACATGCATCCTAAAGGAAGCTGCAAAACGTTTGCTTCAAGATAATGTCAAACCCGGTGACGGAGACGTCGTGTCTTATGCAGTTGCATTTTGGAACAACTTCTTCCGCCCCAGATTGGTGTCACCTTTGCGCCGCGCGCTGCCAGCAGTCAAAGAAGAGTAATCGTACATAATAAGAGGAACACATATAAATTTAAAAACACATAGTTTAAAAATGTCAGACTCCGTGTCCACTTCCAACACTCTAGTGTTGTCTGATTCTGAATCTGAATCATCAACGATGGCAACATCGCCAAACGCCCCAATTCTCCGCCATATATCGGAATATAGCATTGGAACGTTAATCGCTGAATTACGTTTCCGTTGTAAGCAACAAATGATCCTTAAATCATTTCCCACGCATGAATTGATTCAAGAACTGTTTGACCGCAAGGCGTATTTCCGTTGCCTCTCGTTTCAAGCTTTACTTAACGAACTCGAAAACCGCATGGATTCCCAAGAGAAAGTCGATGCCGTTGCCAGTTTGGTACAACCGGTTTTTGTTGATACTGAATTGGGAGGTACCGATCCTTGAAGATCCACTTTTCACCCTGAAACTTTATTCACCCTGAAACTTTATTCACCCTGAAACTTTTAAAATTCAACCACCGACTCGTAATTTCACGAAGCGATACTCCACCGACCTTTTAAAGTTTAGCATAAAATAAACTCATTATTTTGAGTAAAATTTTAATACTATGCCTTACCAACCCCGTCCCAACCAAGCAATGAGTTGGCTTGATTTCGCGCTTCGTCCTTGCCCCGAGCGCATTTCGATCATGTGTAACAGCACTATCATGATGAATCCTCGTGCACCTCGGTCGCTTGGTGCCATGATGGTAGATGAAAATCGCACAGTTGAACAAGCCGCGTTTCTCATCAGTAATGCACAATGTTTCCGCACTCAACTTTTTAACAATCTAACCCCACAGGAAACTTTTTTGGTCGCCATGAATTTGGATCCTGCTGTCCTTGTTGAAGCGGTGGCACGTCGTGCTTTGTCAAGTGGTCTAACACCTGAGCAAGCTGGACGCGTTACTGGCGCCGTTTGG